TTCCTAGCCACCGTGCTTCTACATCTGCATTGCTTGCTCTTTGGGGTTTTAGGCTGGGTTTCTGTAAAGCACTTTGTGACAACTGCTGATGTAAAAAGGGCTTTATAAATACATTTCTTTGACTGATCTTTGTGGTTATCTGGAAGAGACCCTTAGGATATCATAGTATGTGATTTAACATCCCAAACCCAAGGCATCAAACCATAATATTGGCCAAGTAAGGTTCTACACTCCTAGTTCCCAAACCTTTTTATGCCGTGATCTACCAAAAGCTTTTGGAATGCTCTTATGACTCATCTAATAAACAGCCAATATTTATAGGTCCAACCCAGTCTCTTTCACAACCCAAAACGAATCAGCCGTGAATCAGCTGGGACTGTTCTGTTGCCCATCCTGCTGTAAAATATCTAACATTAGTTTCCCTGAAGCACTGTACCTCTCTGGGGTGGGCGGTAGAGTTTGGACAGTGTCCTGGTGGCCTGAGGAGTCATGGGTCCTCCTCTTCATGCTGCCCTTTGACCAATCATCTATAGGAGACTGGAGCTGCAGGGACAAAGAAGAATCAAACTATACTGTACAATTCCCATCATGTTGAGCAGATGATTGCAAACACAGTTTGAGGAGATGAGGCCTTGGTAGCAACTTGATAGTTTCAGTTGCGATAGGAAAAAGAGATGACATTACCAGCAATCAAGAATGGCCCCAACCCAATATCAACCAATAGACTTCCATGAGAACCCAATATCAACCAATAGACTTCCATGAGAACCCAATATCAACCAATAGACTTCCATGAGAACCCAACTTCCAATAGACCTCCATGAGAACCCAACCTACCGAACTTCCATCAACACCCAACCTTAGGGACAATTATCTTCAAAGTTCACCACTACTCATTATCCATTGCACAAATTATGGAAGAGGTTCATATCATTGTATCACCTGAAAAATGCACCCATGTTTATTCCCATCAGTACATAGATTTTTGTTGTTGTTGGTGGATTAAGAGGAAAGACATTATTGAGTCAAATCCTCAAATAATTTGTTACCACTTGTTATTTAAATAACACATTAATAATTCAATTGGAAAATGAGAGTGGATGTGTGTTAGAAATCCACAGAAAAGTTACCGCCCAAAAACACTGCTTAATGCAGATGCAAGTCTATATGCACACAATTACAGTAAGAGCCTTGTAAAATGGTAGCCAAGTTACTACTCTTTTTTGTTTTTCAGCTATGGGCATGACATCCAATGTTTTGTCAAATTTTGATCAAATAAGATTTATGGGTGAAATAACACATTAAGACACCAATGGAAAGGACCACCTCTGACCCCCAAACCATGACGGTTGACCAGAAAGGGTTTCATTGTGGGGGTTGATCAGTGGGGGTTGATCAACCGTGGAGTGTATACACTCCCAAGCCTATTTATTATGCTCTGCATTACATCTAAAGAAGTGTATGATGATGAGGTTAAACACTAGGGCAAAAAAGGTCAGAAACTGGAGTCTAGAGATTTCGAGCCAAAGGTGTGTTAGGATGCACCAGACTAACTAACTGGCAGGGCTCCGTTTCTCTGTGGTGGCAAGCTCTGCTCTGGCTTTGTGGTTATACCTTATCCATGGACTTTGTCCCCTGTGGGCCCAAGCAGGCCCTTGCGTTCAAAGGGAAGCAGGTCCAATACTTCACATCCTCCATTTCGTAACTTTTCTTAAAAGATGACGTCAACGAGCTAGTCAACATTTGTGTTTGGAATGTTTACGGTAATGTGTTCTGACCTATTACAGCCAGAGAAGCACAACGACACTGAGTTTTCATTCAAATGTCATGAATAAAGGATGTGATATGCTAGCTTCAACCTGTTCAGATCTGATGTGCTGCCCTCGTATTTGCTGAAAATAACAGTTCATAAGAAAGGGAAGGCACACAACGCTGCTGGGACAAACACGCTGGTAGGCTTGACGAGACAAGACCAACTGGCAACAGACACACAGAGAACACAGGTATAAATACACAGGGGATAAAGGGGAAGATGGGCGACACCTGGAGGGGGTGGAGACGAGCACAAAGACAGGTGAAACAGATCAGGGTGTGACAGTACCCTCTCCCCTCTAGGGTGACGCCACCTGGCGTCCTACCTGGGCGCATACCTGGTTGACCGGGGTGCCGGCGGCGGAACTCAGGGATGAGGCCTGGGTCCCTAGCGGGGACCCAGCACCTCTCCTCCGGGCCATAACCCTCCCAGTCAACCAGGTACTGGAATCCCCTGCTCCGTAGCCGAACCTTCAGGATGCAGCGTTTACTTTTTCGCTCTTTACTTTAAATCGCTGTTTGATCTGGGTTTGGAATTTAGCATTTCTTCTGGCATCTTGGTTGTTTTCACCCAACGTTTTTATTTCAGCTTTTCGCTTCAGACATTTTTATCTGCTCCACCACAAACCTGTCTGGTAAGGTTGAACGCCTCCTCTCCTACTCAGCCTCCCGACAAAAGCATCTCCCAAGCGGGTGTGACACCTACTCCCATTGCCTGCTGCACTGCGGCTTGGATCCCACCCGGCGATCTGCTCCCTGTCTGCCCTGGCCTGTCTCCCCCTGTCTGGTACACTGCGCCACTCTCCCGAGTGGCACAGTGGTCTAAGGCACTGCATTGCAGTGCTAGCTGTGCCACTAGAGCTCCTGGTTCGAATCCAGGCTTTGTCGTAGCCGGTCGCGACCGGGAGACCCATGGGGCGGCACACAATTGGCCCAGCGTCGTCCAGGTTAGGGGAGGGAATGGCCGGCAGGGATGTAGCTCAGTTGGTAGAGCATGGCGTTTGCGAAAAAATAAAATAAAATAATAATAATAATGTATGCACTCACTAACTGTAAGTCGCTCTGGATAAGAGCGTCTGCTAAATGACTAAAAATGGTACAGGTACCCCCGCCACACTCCCCCCTCTCTCCCGAGCTTTTGCTCGCCTTCAGCACACACGGACATACACACACACACACACACACACACACACCGCAGACTTTGGACTGATCTGAATTTTATGTAGGCTAATTAACTTGTGAATCTTATTATGTGAGCTTTACTGAGAAAAGCTTTAATTAACTAGCATAGGCCTACTATTTATTTCTTTTATCTCAGACTTTTATAGCCTACTGGGCTCAGAGAGCTACTCTCTCACGTTATTTTGTTGGAGCGAGTGACTCTTTGAACTTACAATGGCTAGCCCCAAGCAGTTTTACTTTTTTATTGTGCTTTGCACTATTTGCTCAATGACTCCTGCTTACTTTGTTGACTATGAGTTTGTTTGTTTACCTGACCGTGGGACAGACAACGTTTGTTCCCACACTCATGATTGACTCTCTTTTGGCTACACAGACTCTTGGCCTCCCATCCTATTCTAACCATCTCTCGCCGGCTTTGATTTCATGTTACCTGATGAAACTGCAGTACAATATGATCTTGTTGCCATCTGTTGCACATTCTAATGTCATAAAAATCCACACTGCACAGCTCTCCCTGTCCTCTGCCATGCCCTGATTGTATTACTGCTGATGATATCTGGAAATGTGCACCCTGGCCCATCTACTGTTGCTATTCCCAATTCTGATTTCTGCTTCACTGATTTCTGCTCTCGTAAAAGCCTGGGTTTTCTGCATGTTAACACTAGAAGCTTGTTACCTAAAATGTATCAATTGAAAGTGTGGGTTCAAGGCGTCAATCCAGATGTGTTGGTCCTCACTGAGACATGGTTAAGAAAGGGTGTTCTGAACACTGATGTTAACCTTCCTGGTTATAACCTTTTCGGCAAGACAGATCTTCCAAAGGTGGTGGAGTGGCATTCTTCACCATGGTACACCTTCAGTGCTCGGTTGTCTCCATCAAGTCTGTCCCCAAACAATTTGATTAGCTGGTTTTAAGCATTAAGCTTTCAAATAGCTCTTTGTTGACTGTTATCGTCCTCCATCAGCACCGACCTGTACCCTACCTGCCCTTAGCTCTCTCCTGGCCCCTTACACCAAGGCTGAATTTGTCCTGCTAGGTGACCTAAACTGGGGCATGCTTAAACCCCCTGACCAAGTCTTAAAACAATGGGACTCCCAAAATCTCTCTCAGATTATTACCAACCCCACAATGTATGACTCCAAACACCTAGAAAAGGCTACTCTCCTTGATGTTATCCTCACAAATAATCCTGATAGGTATCAGTCTGGTGTTTTCTGTAATGACCTTAGTGATCACGGTTTTACGGCCTGTGTTCATAATGGCTGCTCAGTTAAACGACCTGTCCTGATTTGTCATAGACGCTTGCTGAAAAACTTTAATGAGCAAGCCTTCCTTCATGACCTGGCCTCTGTAAATTAGTATATAATCAGCTTGATCCCCTCTGTGGAAGATGCTTGGACCTTATTTTTTTATATTTTCAGTGGTATTGTAAACAAACACGTTACTTCACCTTAAGAACACCATTTTGCGAAAGGCTCTGCACTCAAATACTCAGGCTGACTGGCTGTCGTTCAGGCAAATGAGAAATAAGTGCACTCAGGCTATTCGGAAGGCCAAAGTTAATTACTTTAAGGAGCAGTTCTCTCTCTGTGGGTCTAACCCCAAGAAGTTCTGGAAAACGGTTAAAGACCTGGAGAATAAACCCTCCTCCTCACAGCTGCCCATGTCCCTTACATGCTGACCACATCGGCTGCGTTGCGTGCGTGAGCATTGCAAAATAAACGTGTGCGCGGGCGTTGCAAAATAAATGTAGACATACATGTTATTCAATAATGTCATCCAAACTGCTCGCGAGCGTATGCGTAGCCAGGCGCTAAATTAGAACTTGGTAATGGTGGTTATAATAGTATAGAAATGTTACCTCTCTGTTGGAAGTGGAACCAGCATTGTCCGAGCCAGGGGACACCGCATCAAGAGATGAAGAGTTTCCACCACTCCTGGAAATAAAGGGATACAGAGATAAGTAAAATTAATAATAATAACTGGGGGAATCCTCAGTCTTTTCTCATGTTGCAGAGACAATGATATCCTGAAGCAAGTCTAACTCATTAATATTAGTGTAGATATCACAAGGATATGGAATGTCGTACGGTGAATGTTTTTTCCTCCTGTCCTTGCTGTGGTCCTCAGGAGGACTGGTGCTCTCTGGTTGTTGTCCATCACTCTTCTTCCCCTTCCATTTCTCTGCCTTCTCCTTCATGGTGCCCTGTTGGCTGTAGCGAATCAGATTGCCTGGACCCAGGACCTCATTATGGCCGTTCCTGTCATTCATTGGTTCGGGGGGGTTCAGGGTTAAGGTGCTGGGGCGTACAGGTGCAGGGGTGGGGGAGGTGGCTTTGGCCTCTTTCTTCCAGGCTACAAAGGTGTACTGGTCCAGCTCCTTGCTGTCCGTCCTCTCGGCCCGCTCTTTTGGCTTGCCCTCGGCTCGGCTGGCTGCCTCCTGTCCTTTGATCTTAGGGACGGGCTCCTCCTTGGTGGCTGCCAAGGCGACCCGCTCGCTCTCCCGCTGGCTGTGCTCCAGGCCCCACTGGCGCCGCTGCTCTCTCTTCTCCTGGCTCCTGGAGACCTGTGACCTGTGTGTCTCCGCAGCAGCCTGAGCCCCCTTGTCTTTTTCTGGTGACTGGGGGGCAGCTGCCTCCTTGGTCCCCCCCTCCTCATCAGGCTCCTTGGAGTGGGCTTCCTCCGGTTCCTCCACAGCCTGGCTCTCTTCCTCCAGCTGGGGCCCAGCCTCAGCCTGTGTACCGTTGCCCTCATCAGGCTGGGAGACTGCTGAGGCATCCCCCATTTCCACCTCCTCAGGTGGTGAGGTAGATGCAGCCTCTACATCTTCCGCCTCCTCCTTCTGCTTCTCCTTGTCCTGGACAGGCACTTTATCCTCCTGTTGGCTCTCATCTAGAGTACTTTCAGCTGCCACCTGTGCCTCTGGTTCCTCCTGTGTCTCAGGTTCCTCGTTGACTCTTTCTGCCTGCCTCAGCCTTGCCTCCTCCCTCGCCCTCCACACCGCTGCCTCCAGCGCTGCCTCTTTCTTTCTCCTAAATGCCTCTTCCTCTGCCTCCATGTCCAGTCGGGCTGCCTCCTCTTCTGCCTCTCTCGCTAGCCTGGCTGCCTCTTCCTCCGCCCTCTTCCTGGCTTCCTCCTTCCTGGCCTCCTCGTCTTTCTCCTCCTTTTTCCTCCTCTCCTCCCGTATTGAATGGCACCTGTTAAGTTCAACATGATTCAGAAGTGGTTCAACATTCATACGACAATGTTAGGCATCTCTGGGCATTTCAAAACATTTGTAACTAATAACTGTGGGGACCACACCAGTACCAGAATTCAAGAGATGGTGTCAATAATAACTTGCCTTTGGAGTCCAGAGTGGAACAACTTAAACTCAATCATATGTTTGACATCAATAATGATCGTGCCCCAGGTTATATGAAATAGCACATTAATATAGTCTATAACCAGCACAGTTACAATACCAGAGCTTGTGTTATTTCTTGTAAAGTCCCAAGAGTAAACAGTACTGCGAGGAGCATGTTATTCTATCCAGGCATGTTCTATACAAGGCATAGCTTGTTTCCGAGGTTGGGGATGATGTGCAATGAATAGGTTGTTTTTTAAAGGGCCAAAGCAGTCGCTTTTCTCTCAAGTACCTTAGTGTGATTGTTTTCAATTCAAATGGTCAAAGAGAAACAAAAATAGCTTAGCAAAGAGCAATTTCTCAACAAGAATTTTGCTAGGACTGTCTTGTAGTGGTGTGAGTAGAGAGGGGAAAACTGAAAACTAGCTGTTATTGGCAGAGAGGTTTGAAACTCTCTTATTGGTCTGTTAACTAATTTACAGCCTGGTGAGGCAGACCAAAACTCCATCCCACCAAAACAGGCTGAAATTTCAGGTGGTCTTTTCAAACAGCTCTTACACTAAGGGCATTATTATCATTTTCACAATTTCACATTATTGTTCTAACCAGTGTGGAAATATATATAAAACATAGGACTGCACTGGGCATTTAAGGTTAGGAAAATGTGCCACTTTTTAGGATGTCAATATAAATTAATGTAATGTGGTTGTTTGTAATCTTGTCACTCTTTTAATCGTTATATGTGTCATTGGTTTATACCTTCGAGGACCACTTTGGAAACAAGTGTTTTAATTCAAACTTTTAAGCGCTATCATCTGGGTCCACATCGTATATTTTGTTGTATATGTCTTTAAACCAAATACATTCCATTCAATTCAACAAAGTCAGTGTTTACCGGTAACTCAAGGCATTTCACACTTTATAAATACTACACTAAGCAATTAATGTATTTCAGTGGTGTGGCCTCGTGCTGTACCTCCTCCGTGCTGAGTGTCCTCTGGCCATAGCCTGGATCTTCTTGATGCTGGTCTGCCTGCGGAGGTACTCTGACCTCTGTCTGGAGCCCCTCCACACGGCCTGGATCAGCGTGGCCGCCTGACACTGCCGTTCCTTGTGGTGTCTACGCCACGCACGCTGGGAGGGACAAACACGGGCAAGAACATATTATTACCCTGACATATATTACCAAATATAACTTATATATTTCCCGTCTGCAGGAATATGATTGTCTCATAAAGGAAGGATATTGGACAATTTCTATGTATTTCTTTGTAAGAAATAGATATGGAAAATCTGAAAATACTAGTTTTCTAGGCATTTCATATCAGGAAAAGTCGCATCTTTGAACGGACATATGTACAGCACGGTTTATCACACAGCTTACCTGGATCAAGATGGCCGCCTGTCTCATCTCCAGGAAGTACCTCCTCTCCAGGTGGGCCCTGAACCAGTACTGCAGGAAGATGATCTTACGCATCACGTCCTTGTGCAGCGTGTCCTGCAGCTGCTGACGCTCCAGCTCCTTCAGGTAAACCTGAGGATCGCAATTTAATTCAAGACAATTTATTAAAAGATAATTAAAATGTATCTCTGACATGTATTTCTGTGAGGAAAATGTGGAGGAGAGCATGTCTTACCTTGGTTTTTCCTATCTGGTAAGTGGTGTGGTCGAGCTCCATCCTCTGGAACAGGGCAGAGATGTCCTCTGGCTTGGAGGCTGTAGCATTTTTGGGCAGCAACACTCGGAATTGCTCGATGAATTCCTACAGGGACACATTTATTACACCGATTTTGTTTTGACACAGACATTGCTCAATAAACATTTTCCTTCTAACATGTAAAAGTTAGCAAGATATAAAGCATCGTTCCACGGAGGGCCGAGTGTCTGCGGGTTTTCGCTCCTCCCTTCTACTTGATTGATTAATTAAGGTCAGTAATTAGTAAGGAACTCCCCTCACCTGGTTGTCTAGGGCATAATTGAAAGGAAAAATCTCAAACCTGCAGACACACGGCCCTCCGTGGAGTTTGACAACCCTGATATAAAGCAATTACTTTCATTGGTAAACAATGAATGTCAACTATCAACAACAGATATTGTTTCAGACATTGCTGCTGGCTGTCTAAGTCATTAAAGAGGTGCAGTGTACTTGGAAGGTGTACTTGGCTCCATAGCCAGACCTCCGGATGCGAACTGTCTCCAGCATGCCCGTGTAGTGCAGCTGCTGCAGCACCAGGGTCTCGTTCAGACACATCTCCTTCTGCGCACACACACACACACACACACACACACACACACACACACACACACACACACACACACACAGCACATCATTAGAGGGACTCATCATAATAATTTATCAACATCATCTTGGTTGTAAATAATTAAATAAATGTGGCGTTACCTTCTCAGAGTTGGAGCGAATACAGCGGATGAAGAAGGGTTCTGCTCTGCCCAAAGTCTCCAACAGTTTAGTCAGAGAGGTCTGTCAATGTAAAAATGATTTAATATCAATGAAACTAACTTCAATAAAGTTCTGCATCTGCATTGTCTGAAGTTTGCAATGTATGTTAGTGGCTGTCTGGCTGCTGTATTTGCTGGTGAGATCAGCTGACCTGGAACTGAGCGCTGATGCTGGGAGTCTTCTTCTTCTTGTTGAGGTGCAGTAGAGACTTGGCGGTGCGGTCGTGGAGGGTCCGACCCACGATGAACTTCAAGGAGCGAGAGTCCAACAGGCTCTAAGGAACAGCATCAACATCAAAGAGTTCTAAACGTCTGGAGACACCACCTCAGTCTCGCTGATACTCTCGGATGATTAAAACGTTATATATTTTGAAAATGTTCTATTAGATAATTTAGTGATCAAGATCTGAGATAATGAAGAAATATTAATAATTTCAGGTGGTCGGATTTTATATTTACAGGTCATGTTTCAAATTTTACTTATGTAGGAGCGCACGTACAGTGGGGAGAACAAGTATTTGATACGCTGCCGATTTTGCAGGTTTTCCTACTTACAAAGCATGTAGAGGTCTGTAATTTTTATCATAGGTACACATCAACTGTGAGAGACGGAATCTAAAACAAAAATCCAGAAAATCACATTGTATGATTTTTAAGTAAATAATTTGCATTTTATTGCATGACATAAGTATTTGATACATCAGAAAAGCAGAACTTAATATTTGGTACAGAAACCTTTGTTTGCAATTACAGAGATCATATGTTTCCTGTAGGTCTTGACCAGGTTTGCACACACTGCAGCAGGGATTTTGGCCCACTCCTCCATACAGACCTTCTACAGATCCTTCAGGTTTCGGGGCTGTCGCTGGGCAATACGGACTTTCAGCTCCCTCCAAAGATTTTCTATTGGGTTCAGGTCTGGAGACTGGCTAGGCCACTCCAGGACCTTGAGACGCTTCTTACGGAGCCACTCATTAGTTGCCCTGGCTGTGTGTTTCGGGTCGTTGTCATGCTGGAAGACCCAGCCACGACCCATCGTCAATGCTCTTACTGAGGGAAGGAGGTTGTTGGCCAAGATCTCGCGATACATGGCCCCATCCATCCTCCCCTCAATACGGTGCAGTTGTCTTTTCCCGTTTGCAGAAAAGCATCCCCAAAGAATGATGTTTCCACCTCCATGCTTCACGGTTGGGATGGTGTTCTTGGGGTTGTACTCATCCTTCTTCTTCCTCCAAACACGGCGAGTGGAGTTTAGACCAAAAAGCGATATTTTTGTCTCATTAGACCACATGACCTTCTCCCATTCCTCCTCTGGATCATCCAGATGGTCATTGGCAAACTTCAGACGGGCCTGGACATGCGCTGGCTTGAGCAGGGGGACCTTGCGTGCGCTGCAGGATTTTAATCCATGACGGAGTAGTGTGTTACTAATGGTTTTCTTTGAGACTGTGGTTCCAGCTCTCTTCAGGTCATTGACCAGGTCCTGCCGTGTAGTTCTGGGCTGATCCCTCACCTTCCTCATGATCATTGATGCCCCACGAGGTGAGATCTTGCATGGAGCCCCAGACCGAGGGTGATTGACCGTCATCTTGAACTTCTTCCATTTTCTAATAATTGCGCCAACAGTTGTTGCCTTCTCACCAAGCTGCTTGCCTATTGTCCTGTAGCCCATCCCAGCCTTGTGCAGGTCTACAATTTTATCCCTGATGTCCTTACACAGCTCTCTGGTCTTGGCCATTGTGGAGAGGTTGGAGTCTGTTTGATTGAGTGTGTGGACAGGTGTCTTTTATACAGGTAACGAGTTCAAACAGGTGCAGTTAATACAGGTAATGAGTGGAGAACAGGAGGGCTTCTTAAAGCCTAACTAACAGGTCTGTGAGAGCCGGAATTCTTACTGGTTGGTAGGTGATCAAATACTTATGTCATGCAATAAAATGCAAATTAATTACTTAAAAATCAATTGTTGTTTTAGATTCCGTCTCTCACAGTTGAAGTGTACATATGATAAAAATTACAGACCTCTACATGCTTTGTAAGTAGGAAAACCTGCAAAATCGGCAGTGTATCAAATACTTGTTCTCCCCACTGTAGCTGGCATATGTACAGTAAGGGAAAAAAGTATTTGATCCCCTGCTGATTTTGTACGTTTACCCACTGACAAAGAAATTATCAGTCTATAATTTTAATGGTAGGTTTATTTGAACAGTGAGAGACAAAAAAATCCAGAAAAACGCATGTCAAAAATGTTATAAATTGATTTGTATTTAGAGGTCAGATGTTTCTTGTAGTTGGCCACCAGGTTTGCACACATCTCAGGAGGGATTTTGTCCCACTCCTCTTTGCAGATCTTTCCAAGTCATTAAGGTTTCGAGGCTGACGTTTGGCAACTCGAACCTTCAGCTCCCTCTACAGATTTTCTATGGAATTAAGGTCTGGAGACTGGCTAGGCCACTCCAGGACCTTAATGTGCTTCTTCTTGAGCCACTCCTTTGTTGCCTTGGCCGTGTGTTTTGGGTCATTGTCATGCTGGAATACCCATCCACGACCCATTTTCAATGCCCTGGCTGAGGGAAGGAGGTTCTCACCCAAGATTTGACGGTACATGGCCCGTCCATCGTCCCTTTGATGCGGTGAAGTTGTCCCCTTAGCAGAAAAACACCCCCAAAGCATAATGTTTCCACCTCCATGTTTGACGGTGGGGATGGTGTTCTTGGGGTCATAGGCAGCATTCATCCTCTTCCAAACATGGCGAGTTGAGTTGATGCCAAAGACCTCCATTTTGGTCTCATCTGACCACAACACTTTCACCCAGTTCTCCTCTGAATCATTCAGATGTTCATTGGCAAACTTCAGACGGGCATGTATATGTGCTTTCTTGAGCAGGGGGACCTTGCGGGCGCTGCAGGATTTCAGTCCTTCACAGTGTAGTCTGTTACCAATTGTTTTCTTGGTGACTATGGTCCCAGCTGCCTTGAGATCATTGACAAGATCCTCCCGTGTAGTTCTGGGCTGATTCCTCACCGTTCTCATGATCATTGCAACTCCACGAAGTGAGATCTTGCATGGAGCCCCAGGCCGAGGGAGATTAACAGTTATTTTGTGTTTCTTCCATTTGCCAATAATCGCACCAACTGTTGTCACCTTCTCACCAAGCTGCTTGGCGATGGTCTTGTAGCCCATTCCAGCCTTGTGTAGGTCTACAATCTTGTCCCTGACATTGTTGGAGAGCTCTTTGGTCTTGGCCATGGTGGAGAGTTTGGAATCTGATTGATTGATTGCTTTTGTGGACAGGTGTCTTTTATACAGGTAACAAGCTGAGATTAGGAGCACTCCGTTTAAGAGTGTGCTCCTAATCTCAGCTCGTTACCTGTATAAAAGACACCTGGGAGCCAGAAATCTTTCTGATTGAGAGGGGGTCAAATACTTATTTCCCTCATTAAAATGCAAATCAATTTATAACATTTTTGACATGCGTTTTTCTGGATGTTCAAATAAACCTACCATTAAAATTATAAACTGATCATTTCTTTGTCAGTGGGCAAACGTACAAAATCAGCAGGGGATCAAATACTTTTTTCCCTCATTGTATGAAACTGTAAGTTTACCTTAGGTATGATCTGTTTCTGCTTGGCATTCTTGTTTTTCCTGTGGGAGAGGGAGAGGTTAGTGAGACGTGCTAAGCACAGAGATGTCACTGAGGAGGTCTAGGGGTGAGCGGGGGGGGGGGGGGAGCCGTGTTGTTAGTATGGTGAGTCATTCTCAGTCAGTATGAGGCATGAGGGCTTGCACCTGGAGTATGGGTGGGATGACGGACAGACGGACGGGGGAATCCAGCCAACCAATCAGACAGCCTGGCTGAGACCCATAGGGCCTATAGGAGTAGGAGACCTGTTCTCCCAGCTATCTTGTTTTCATCATATCAGCCTTGGGTTTATAGTGGAACTGTTACTACAGTACCAGTCAAAAGTTTGGACACACCTACTCATTCCAGGGTTATTTACTTAATTTTTACTATTTTTTACATTGTAGAATAATAGTGAAGACATCAAAACTATGAAATAACACACATGGAATCATGCAGTAACCAAAAAAGTGTTAAACAAATAAAAATATATTTTATATTTGAGATTCTTCAAAATAGCCACCTTTGCCTTGATGACAGCTTTGCACACTATTGGCATTCTCTCAACCAGCTTCATGAGGTAGTCACCTGGAACGCATTTCAATTAACAGGTGTGCCTTGTTAAAAGTTAATTTGTGGAATTTCTTTCCTTCTTAATGCGTTTGAGCCAATCAGTTGTGTTGTGACAAGTCCATATTATGGCAAGAACAGCTCAAATAATCAAAGAGAAACGACAGTCCATCATTACTTTAAGACATGAAGGTCAGTCAATCCAGAACATTTCAAGAAGTTTGAATGTTTCTTCAAGTGCAGTCACAAAAAACATCAAGCTCTATGATGAAACTGGCTCTCATGAGGACCGCCACAGGAAAGGAAGACCCAGAGTTACCGCTGCTGCAAAGGATTAGTTCATTAGAGTTACCAGCCTCAGAAATTGCAGCCCAAATAAATGCTTCACAGAGTTCAAGTAAAATACACATCTCAACATCAACTGTTCAGAGGAGACTGCGTGAATCAGGTGTTCATGGTCGAATTGCTGCAAAGAAACCACTACTAAAGGACACCAATAAGAAGATGACACTTGCTTGGGCCAAGAAACACCAGCAATGGACATTAGACCGGTGGAAATCTGTGCTTTGGTCTGGAGTCAAAATTTGAGATTTTTGGTTCCAACCGCTGTGTCTTTGTGAGACGCAGTGTAGGTGAACGGATTATCTCTGCATATGTAGTTCCCACCACGAAGCACGGAGGAGGTGGTGTGATGGTGTAGGGGTGCTTTGCTGGTGACACTGTCTGCGATTTATTTAGAATTCAAGGCACACTTAACCAGCATGGCTACCACAGCAATCTGCAGCGATAGGCCATCCCATCTGGTTTGGGCTTAGTGGGACAATCATTTATTTTTCAACAGGACAATGACCCAACACACCTCCAGGCTGTGTAAGGGCTATTTGACCAAGAAGGAGAGTGATGGAGTTCTGCATCAGATGACCTGGCCTCCACAATCCCCCGACCTCAACCCAATTGAGATGGTTTGGGATGAGTTGGACCGCAGAGTGAAGGAAAAGCAGCCAACAAGTGCTCAGCATATGTGGGAACTCCTTCAAGACTGTAGGAAAAGCATTCCATGTGAAGCTGGTTGAGAGAATGCCAAGAGTGTGGCAAAGCTGTCATCAAGGCAAAGGGTGGCTACTTTGAAGAATCTCAAATATAAAATATATTTTGATTTGTTTAACACCTTTTTGGTTACTACATGATTCCATATGTGTTATTTCATAGTTTTGATGTCTAAACTATTATTCTACAATGTCAAAAATAGTTAAAATAAAGAAAAACCCTTGAATGAGTTGGTGTGTCCAAACTTTTGACTGGTACTGCTTGTGTGACAAAATTTGCTTGACAGTGTGTAAATTGTGTGGTCAACACAGCACACGTTTCGAGGAAGAATCAACCGAATGCTTTCGTTTTGTTTCTTCACTGTGTGTTAAATACTTGCATATGTTATACCCAACAACCATAGTTCTATATAAGTTAAAACAAGCTATGATTTCTAACAAACGTTTGGGTTCTTTCAGATTTCACATTCTTACAGTTTCATCTAGAAGCCAATGCATTCATGTGATTAATGTTTGTTCATGCAGCAGCTGTGCTATTGAGGCCATCATCGCATCCTCAGCTTTCATCAAGGCCTCTGTATCTCCATTATAGCCCATATGGGCAACAGCCTCGCTGCATTACAGCATCAGCCTCATGCTAATCAACATCACATTGGAACCCAGTCTCTATGGGCCTTGCAGTCCACTATCACGAGCAGCCTAGTGTTGTTGGGTAGCCTTCTGCAAATAACTAGGATTCATGTTTTTCATGAGGTTTGGTCTCAAAACAGCCAATTACCCAGCCTGTGTCTTAAACTGTCTGTCACGTGTTGAGAGTTTTAACAACCATATGAGATGAGGAATTGTGTCTTCTAGCTGAATACATAATTCTGTTGCCGTTTTGGACTAGTATTTATTTGTTCTTAGTCAAATCAGGTGTCCTAGTGCTGGTCTGGAACAAAGATTTGCAACCAATGGGATGCCCCAGCCCCCAGGAGGACTGAGGTTGAGCACTGTTAAAGCTGGGTTAGACCTTGCTAGGACAAGCTGGGCTGGGCTGAAGGGGCTACAGACTCACTGAAGGAGGTGTCGAGGGAACCGCAGGCGACCCCAGGACTGCAGCAGCTTGCGAGGGTCCTCACCGTCCAGCTGCAAGTCCTTAATGGAGCTGATTATCTGGGCATGCATGTCCCTGAATCAACCCAGCAAGGGCCACAGTGGGTGAGGAGGATGGAGGGTAAGAGACAGGGGGAGGAGAGGGGAAGGGGTGTTGGGCACAGGGCATAAGGGGAGGACAGAGGGAGGGGGGATAGAAACACCGCTGTCAGGACACCTCGAAAGACAGAAAAACACCCCACCACCAAAGAGCAAGCTTCCCAAGAGAAACACACCAACAGATCGGTTGAGATCATGTAAAACTGGTGTTTAATGCTGCTTCAGTTCAGACGACCTGCTGCACGCACACACACACACACCAATTGATTAATGGACTGCTGAATGTATATATTTTTCTCTTGCTTTGTTTGCTCTTTCCAGTATTATGTCTATCTCTGATAAGCTACCCAGGAAAGGGCTGAAAATAGCCCTTATTAATAAATGTAGCCTTAGAAATAAGGTTCATGAAATCAATAACTTGCTAACATCAGATAACATTCATATATTAGCCATTTCTGAGACTCACTTAGATAATTCATTTGATGATACAGCAGTAGCAATACAATAATATAACATCTATAGAAGAGACAGAAATGCTTATGGGGGAGGTGTTGCTGTATATATTCAGAGCCATATCCCTGTAATGCTTAGAGAAGATCTTATGTCAAGTGTTATTGAAGTGTTGTGGTTGCAGGTTCACTTGCCACATCTAAAGCCTTTTCTTTTGGGGTGTTGCTATAGGCCAACAAGTCTGAACAGTCAGTATTTAAATAATATGTGTGAAATACTTGATAGTGTATGTGATGTAAACAGAGAGGTCTACTTTCTTGGGGACCTGAATATTGACTGGTTTTCATCAAGCTGTCTGCTCAAGAGGAAGCTTCTTACTGTAATCTGGTTCAGGTTATTAATCAACCTACCAGGGTGTTTACAAACACTACAGGAACAAGATCATCCACATGTATTGATCACATTTTTACTAATACTGTAGAACTTTGTTCTAAAGCTGTATCCGTACCCATTGGATGCAGTGATCACAATATAGTGGCTATATCCAGGAAAGCCAAAGTTCCAACAGCTGGGCCTAAAATAATGTATAAGAGATCATACAAAAGATTTTGCTGTGACTCATATGTGGATGATGTAAAAACAAAAGTGTTGGTCTGATGTGATTAATTAGGAGCATCCAGATGCTGCACTTGATGAATTTATGAAATTGCTTCTTCCAATTATTGATAAACATGCACCTGTTAGGAAACTGACTGTTAGAACTGTTAAGGCTCCATGGATTGATGAGTAATTGAAAAACTGTATGGTTGAAAGAGATGGGGCAAAAGGAGTGGCTAATAAGTCTGGCTGCACATCTGACTGGTTGACTTACTGCAAATTGAGAAATTATGTGACTAAACTCAACAAAAAGAAGAAAAAACTGTATTATGAAGCCAAGATCAATGATATAAAGAATGATGGAGAAAAAAACTTTGGAGTACTTTAAATGAAATTATGGGTAGAAAGACAAATTCAATTCAATTCATTTGATGTTGGCAATTATTTTTAATGATTACTTCATTGGCTAAGTGGGCAAACTTAGGCAGGAAATGCCAACAATGAACAGTGAGCCATCGTATTCATGCATAAAAAAAACAAATAATGAAAGAAAAGCATTGCAAGTTTGAATTTTATAAAGTTAGTGTGGGATTGATGGAAAAATAATTGTTATCGATCAATAATGACAAACCTCCTGGCATTGACAACTTAGATGGAAAGCTACTGAGGATGGTAGCTGACTCTATAGCCACTCCTATCTGTCATATCTTTAATCTGAGCCTAGAGGAAAGTCTTTGTCCTCAGGCCTGGAGGGAAACCAAAGTAATTCCGCTACCCAAGAATGGTAAAGCGGCCTTTACTGGTTCTAACAGTAGACCTATAAGCTTGCTGCCAGCTCTTAGCAAACTGTTGGAAAAAATTGTGTTTGACCAAATACAATGCTACTTCTCTGTAAACAAATGAACAACAGACTTTCAACATGCTTATAGGGAAGGGCACTCAACATGTACTGCACTGACACAAATGACTGATGATTGGATGAAAGAAATGGATAATAAGAAGATCGTGGGAGCTGTACTGTTAGATTTCAGTGCAGCCTTTGATATTATTGACCATAACCTGTTGTTGAAAAAAACGTACGTGTTATGGCTTTTCAACCTCTGCCATATCGTGGATTCAGAGCTATCTATCTAATAGAACTAAAATAGTTTTCTTTAATGGAAGCTTCTTCTCTAATGTCAAACATGTAAAGTGTGGTGTACCACAGGGCAGCTCTCTAGGCCCTCTACTCTTTTCTATTTTTACCAATGACCTGCCACTGGCATTAAACAAAGCACGTGTGTCCATGTATGCTGATGATTCAACCATATACGCATCAGCAACCACAGCTAATGAAGTCACCGAAACCCTTAACAAAGAGTTGCAGTCTGTTTTGGAATGGGTGGCCACTAATAAACTGGTCCTGAACATCTCTAAAACTAAGAGCATTGTATTTGGTACAAATCATTCCCTAAGTTCTGAATGAATGAATGGTGTGGCTGTTGAACAAGTTGAGGAGACCAAATTACTTGGCGTTCCCTTAGATAGTAAACTATCATGGTCAAAACATATAGATTCAATGGTTGTAAAGATGGAGAGAGGTCTGTCCGTAATAAAGAGATGCTCTGCTTTTTTGACACCACACTCAAAAAAAAGGAAGTTCTGCAGGCTCTAGTTTTGTCTAATCTTGATTATTGTCCAGTCGTGTGGTCCAGTGCTGCAAGGAAATACCTAGTTAAGCTGCAACTGGCCCAAAACAGAGCGGCACATCTTGCTCTTCATTGTAATCAGAGGGCTGATATAAATACTATGCATGCCAGTCTCTCTTGGCTAAGAGTTGAGGAGAGACTGACTGCATCACTTCTTCATTTTATAAGAAACATTAATGTATTGAAAATCCCAAATTGTTTGCATAGTCAACATACACACAGCTCTGACACACACACACACTTACCCCACCAGACATGCCACCTGGGGTCTTTTCACAGTCCCCAAATCCAGAACAAATTCAAGAAAGCGTACAGTATTATATAGAGCCATTATTGCATGGAACTCCGTTCCATCTCATATAGCTCAAATAAACAGCAAACCTGGTTTCAAAAAACAGATAAAGCAACACCTCACGGCACAACGCTTCGCCCCTATTTGACCTAGATACCTTTGTGTGTATGTATTGATATGTAGGCTACGTGTGCCTTTAAAAAAAAACATGTATGTAGTTCTGTCCTTGAGGTGTTCTTGTCTATTAATGTTCTGTATTATGTCATGTTTCAGGTTTTGTGTGGACCCCAGGAAGAGTAGCTGCTGCTTTTGCAACAGCTAATAGGGATCCTAATAAAATACCAAAGACCACCCAGCCATGGCTAAAGCAGAGAGTGTAGAGAGACAGAGAGGTTGTGTTCTCTCACACCATACTCCTGTAAGTAAGTACTGTGAGCATGCATTCCTGAATCAAAGCTTCACTGGTTGATGTATCTTCTCCATGCTGTTGTTACTCTGCTGCAGACTAGGATTGGTCATTGGACTGGTGTTATACTGGTGGAGAACAGGGGAGACTGTTGTTAAGAGGGCATATTGGCCATATATCACAAACCCCTGAGGTGCCTTAATGCTATTATAAACTGGTTACCAACGTAATTAGAGCAGTACAAATAAATGTTTTGTCATACCTGTGGTACACAGTCTGATATACCACGGCTGTCAGCCAATCAGCATTCAGTGCTCGAACCATACAGTTTATAATACTGTACTTACCACTCTGATTAATAAACCAAAGGAGGTCAGGCAGGAAGGGATGGGCCGTAAGTAAAGGTACCATAGACAAACTAGCCCAGTCCAAGAACAGCCCCTAAAAGCCCTGACCTCTTCAGTATTTTCAGGTCTGAAGGAACCAGATAGGTGGAAGCATAATGGAGGAACCTCCCCTAAGCTTATCGAAAGCCTAGGTGGAGCTATCCCCATATTGGTTACACCTATCAGATCTATAAAACACATAAGGGGTAGGGCCTAAGGAAGGTGATGGGGTGGTGTTTTACTGCCCAGTTCCTCTCTGAGAATGCTCATATTAAAACAGGGGATTCTGGTCCATTTAGACACTACAATTATTTTTTCCTAAAACTTTCTTCATAGGAAATTGTTTATTACATACCCTATTTCATCACAACTACTCCAGGACATGAGCTGTATAGCACTTCCCTGACCTGATTCATGTACCAAACTTTACTACTACTGTTTATTAGTGTTCTTAACGCTGTACTATCATATATTAGTGTGCAAAGCCTTTCCAGTTTCCTCCCAGTAATTAGTAGATTATCAGAGCAGGGAAGCTCTAACACCTTTCAGTGTTCTACACTAACCATAATAAACCTGGATGAAGAGACAGATTACCGTGGCGGAGAGAGGGAGAGAGAGAGAAACAGAGAGCGAGAACGGTGGGGGGAAATAGAGAGAAAGGGGAAACAGATAAGAACAAGATGCAGCCTGTTGATGATTAGAAAGGAAAATGTTTGCAGTGTTTGATGTTTCCATGAAGTTTATTTCTGTAGTCTGGCTGCTTTCCTTTCCAAACTAAATAAATATATGCCTGCTGCAAAACCTTCATGAAATAAACCAGGGTTTCCCAAAATCGGTCCTGGTTTTTGCCCTAGCACTTCACAGCTGACTCAAATTACCAACCAATCATCAAGCTTTGATTATTTGAATCAGCTGTGTAGTGCTAGGGCAAAAACCAGCTAGCGAAGATGTCTTCGAAGGCCTCTAGTGGGCGCTCATCAGAGTGATCAAAGTAGAAATCGAGCAGCCGTCTGTGGAGGGGAGAGAACGGCACACAGGGTCACCCAGGGGCAGGGATCCAACGCAAAGGCCAGGATGAGATGAAGGAGGATTCATTCCACCATAGAGAAACATATCATTCTATTTCTACGGATTTGACTGAGCTGATGTCATACAAGAGACCAGGAAGCACACAAGCCAACTGTTTCAATAGTTTCATTCAGTTCCATTTACTGGAGGCCTAGGGGGAGTTCCATGTGTCTCTCAGTACGGATACACTTCCAGAAGAATCTTGTGATTTTATGATATTACTGTCTGATTCTTCTTCATGTCATCCTAGGCGCAGGGACACTGGATAAGTCCACAGTACGGATGCTCACCCTGTAATTTGTCATCTTTGAAACAAATGGATTTCTTAAAAGACCTATACAAATACAATTTGACTGATTGACTGATTATCCAATCCACAACGTGTTCTCCGTGAGGAGCCCCAATAAGGCAAAGTGATTTCAATTATTCTGGTTAATCCTAAATACAATCTTCCATCTTTATAGTAAAGATTAATTAGATGACTTTGTCTTGGATCAAGTTAGTAGGGTTGTGCATTTAAAGTGGATTTCTGATGGAAGATAGAAAAATTGTCCTTGGGCCTTAGCTCCACAGGTGCTCGGGTAGATTGTAATCACTGTGAATACCTGCCTACCTGCAGTGTGCCTCAGCGGACAGAGAGACCCATCTGTCAAACACAAGACATCACACCCAAAACAACAGTGGAGGAGAGGAATACGCTCCCAGAATATGTCTCAATATCCACACTAACATACTATCTAGTATGCATGGCTAGGGCCAGGAGTTATTCCTGCCCGCTTGACCTGACCAGGAAAATAAAACAGAGGGCCCAATGCATGGCCAATACAGTGAGGGAAAAAAGTATTTGATCCCCTGCTGATTTTGTACGTTCGCCCACTGACAAAGAAATGATCAGTCTATAATTTTAATGGTAGGTTTATTTGAACAGTGAGAGACAGAATAACAACAAAAGAATCCAGAAAACCGCATGTCAAAAATGTTATAAATTGATTTGCATTTTAATGAGGGAAATAAGTATTTCACCCCCTCTCAATCAGAAAGATTTCTGGCTCCCAGGTGTCTTTTATACAGGTAACGAGCTGAGATTAGGAGCACACTCTTAAAGGGAGTGCACCTAATCTCAGCTTGTTACCTGTATAAAAGACACCTGTCCACAGAAGCAATCAATCAATCAGATTCCAAACTCTCCACCATGGCCAAGACCAAAGAGCTCTCCAAGGATGTCAGGGACAAGATTGTAGACTTACACAAGGCTGGAATGGGCTACAAGACCATCGCCAAGCAGCTTGGTGAGAAGGTGACAACAGTTGGTGCCATTATTCGCAAATGGAAGAAACACAAAATAACTGTCAATCTCCCTCGGCCTGGGGCTCCATGCAAGATCTCATCTCGTGGAGTTGCAATGATCATGAGAACGGTGAGGAATCAGCCCAGAACTACATAGGAGGATCTTGTCAATGATCTCAAGGCAGCTGGGACCAGTCACCAAGAAAACAATTGGTAACACACTACGCCGTGAAGGACTGAAATCCTGCAGCGCCCGCAAGGTCCCCCTGCTCAAGAAAGCACATATACAAGCCTGTCTGAAGTTTGCCAATGAACATCTGAATGATTCAGAGGAGAACTGGGTGAAAGTGTTGTGGTTAGATGAGACCAAAATTGAGCTCTTTGGCATCAACTCAACTCGCTGTGTTTGGAGGAGGAGGAATGCTGCCTATGACCCCAAGAACACCGTCAAACATGGAGGTGGAATCATTATGCTTTGGGGGTGTTTTTCTGCTAAGGGGACAGGACAACTTCACCGCATCAAAGGGATGATGGACGGGGCCATGTACCGTCAAATCTTGGGTGAGAACCTCCTTCCCTCAGCCAGGGCATTGAAAATGGGTCGTGGATGGGTATTCCAGCATGACAATGACCCAAAACACATGGCCAAGTCAACAAAGGAGTTGCTCAAGAAGAAGCACATTAAGGTCCTGGAGTGGCATAGCCAGTCTCCAGACCTTAATCCCATAGAAAATCTGTGGAGGGAGCTGAAGGTTCGAGTTGCCAAACGTCAGGCTCGAAACCTTAATGACTTGGAGAAGATCTGCAAAGAGGAGTGGGACAAAATCCCTCCTGAGATGTGTGCAAACCTGGTAGACAACTACAAGAAACGTCTGACCTCTGTGATTGCCAACAAGGGTTTTGCCACCAAGTACTAAGTTATGTTTTGCAGAGGGGTCAAATACTTATTTCCCTCATTAAAATGCAAATCAATTTATAACATTTTTGACATGTGTTTTCTGGATTTTGTTGTTGTTATTCTGTCTCTCACTGTTAAAATAAACCTACCATTAAAATTATAGACTGATCATGTCTTTGTCAGTGGGCAAACGTACAAAATCAGCAGGGGATCAAATACTTTTTTCCCCTCAATGTACATCACTTCTTAAGTGGTATGGAAGTGTGGATATTGAGACAAATGTAGTTTACCTTCTTCCCTGCGTGTCCCTCAGTCAGAGGTCTGTGTGGTGGATCTGGGTCTTACCTGTACATCCTCTCTACAGGTGTGTTGGACCTCTGCAGCTCCCCCAAAGGAGTCCTGGAAGTGGGGCGCTGCACACCTGTTGAACACACACAGACAGGCACCCACACACAGACAAGATCACAGACACACATAACATATCATTAGATAAGATGCCTAAAGGCTCTACGAGGACAGAAGACTGGTCCCCATGTCTACTGCTTGTCAAAGAAATAAACAGCAAAATCCAGTTATTTCAGAGGCCAATTCCCTGTTTTGTATTTCTTTTACATTTTACATTTTAGTCATTTAGCAGACGCTCTTATCCAGAGCGACTACAGGAGCAATTAGGGTTAAGTGCCTTGCTCAAGGGCACATCGACAGACTTTTCACCTAGTCGGCTCGGGGATTAGAACCAGCGACCTTTCGGTTACTGGTACAACGCTCTTAACCACTAAGCTACCTGCCGCTCCTATTTCCTTGATTTAATTTAACGGACCACTTTTCTCATCTAGTCAACACAACACAAATAGTCTGGCGGATTGAGGCTTACAGAAAAACCCTGAAAATTCAAGGCTACCGTTTCTCCCAAAGCCCTGTGCACCTAATTTCTGAGTAGCAAACATCTTTGTCAATACTCTGTCAGCTATACACTGTGCCAGTTGTGTACTATGTCTGTTGTATATCTATCTATTCATCTTCCCACTGTTCTACAGTGCCAGGTGTATATCTTCTACCTGCGGTCTTGGCAGCCAAGCGGCGTCCAGCTTCGTTGAAGGCAGCCATGCCTCTGATGGTGGCTCGCAGGATGCCCCAGCGGAACATGGCCACCGGATCCATCCCAATCAGCTGACGCACGTAGGCCCGGTCACTGCTGCGCAGCAGAGCCACGATGTCCGGACGCATGTGGTCCGTGTTCTTCTCCCGGAAGTCCTGCCAAGAAAAGTCATAGGAGAGGGTTAGCATGTTGAGGCCGTTTTAGAGTCGCCACTAAGACGCTGTTTGTAATCAGTCTGACACAGGAGGACATTCATAGTGGAAGCTTTGTCATCAATTAGTAATAATGTTCTGAACAATAATATTGATGCTGTCAATAACAGTGAACAGTTACACAAATACAAAAAACCTCCCTCAACCCCCTAGACATTACATGATAGTAAACAAGGAGTCTGTGACTGTGTTGGTGGGTGTTCATCCATCCCTACCTTGATCTGGTACTTGACCTTCCCAGCGAAGTGTCGGATGACGAAGGCAGGTTCCATGACAGGCGTGGGCACAAAGTACTTCTTCCCCTGGTGCTGCTGCTTGAACTTGGCCAGCAGGGTCTCATCAGTGGCATGGGGGAAACTGGAGAGAGGGAGAGAAGGAGAGAGAAAGTGAGTGAAGGGGGGAAGAGAATGAAGTGATAGATACACCACACAAACCTGCATCTCATCTAACATGTGAATGTACTGTCGCTCATAGCAAAGTAATGAACACTATGTTAAGGTTGCAGTCACTCCTGGCCAGTAGATTAAAAAAAAATTCTGGAATGTAAGTGTACCATCTCTTTTAAAGACTTGAAGTCCTTACTTGCTCTCCTCGTCCAGTAGGTACAGGAGACCAGTGGGCTTCTTGCTGATGAGGTGGATGCAGCCCACGTTGTCTGTGTAGTCTATGTTGTGCCAGGTGATGCCCTCCGCCTGGTACTCCTCCTGCAATGGACCAATAACAGACTTACAGTTAGGGAAGACATAGGATTGATCAGGGCTGTTATACTGTCCTTATGGAGAGGCACCATAGAAAAATAATGACATAGAATCTACACTACATAACCAAAAGTATGTGGACAGCTGCTTGTCAAACATCCCATTCCAAAATCATGAGAATTAATATGGTGTTGGTCCCCCCTTTGCTGCTATAACAGCCTCCACTCTTCTGGGAAGGCTTTCCAGTAGATGTTGGAACATTGCTGCGGGGACTTGCTTCCATTCAGCCACAAGAGCATTAGTGAGGTCAGGCACTGACGTTGGGCGATTAGGCCTGGCTCGCAGTCGGCATTCCAATTCAACCCAAAGGTGTTCGATGGGGTTGAGGTCAGGGCTCTGTGCAGGCCAGTCAAGTTCTTCCACACCGATCTTGACAAAACATTTCTGTATGGACCTCGCTTTGTGCACCGGGGCATTGTCATGCTGAAACAGGAAAGGGCCTTCCCCAAACTGTTGCCACAAAGTTCAAAGCACAGAATCGTCTATAATGTCATTGTATGCTGTAGTGTTTCCCCTTCACTGGAACTAAGGAATCCGAACCATGGTAAACAGCCCCAGACCATTATTTATCCTCCAGATGGTGAAGTGTGATTCATCACTCCAGAGAACGCGTTTCCACTGCTCCAGTCCAAGTGTGGCGAGTTTTACACCACTCCAGCCGATGCTTGGCATTGCTCATGGTGATCTTAGGCTTGTGTGCGGCTGCTCGGCCATGGAACCCCATTTCATGAAGCTCCCGACGAACAGTTATTGTGCTGACGTTGCTTCCAGAGGCAGTTTGGAAATCGGTAGTGAGTGTTGCAACCGAGGACAGACGATTTTTACGCGCTACGTGCTTCAACACTCGGCGGTCCCGTTCTGTGAGCTTGTGTGGCCTACCACTTCGAGGCTGAGCCGTTGTTGCTCCTAGACGTTTCCATTTCACAATAACAGCACTTACAGTTGACTGGGGCAGCTTTAGCAGGGCAGAAATTTGGCGAACTAACTTGTTGAAAAGGTGGCATCCTTATGACGGTGCCACGTTGAAAGTCACTGAGCTCTTCAGTACGGCCATTCTACCACCAATGTTTGTCTATGGAGATTGCATGGCTGTGTGCTCGATTGTATACACCTGTCAGCAATGGGTGTGGCTGAAATAGCCGAATCCCCTAATTTGAAGGGGTGTTCACAGACTTTTTTATATATAGTGTATTTCTATGAGAGGCACCCAGGACGAACTCACCTGCTCCAGTTTGAAGATATGCTGGTTGAAGTAATACTGAAGCTGCTCGTTGGCATAGTTGATGCAAAACTGCTCAAAGCTGTTGGTCTCAAAGTCCTCAAAGCCAAATATATCTAGGACCCCTATAGACAAACACTGGCACAGACCAAATCATACAGTAGGTCAGTCAGAAATAAAGATACGTTGTTAATGGCTTCACAATGTCACTTGTATCATACTAGAGCTTTGGCAAGGTATTTTTTTTGAAAATTGTTGAATAAATTCATTGCTTAATAAGATATGTTTTACTTCAAGTTATTTCTGGGGCCTTAGGAATTTCCGACATGTCTGGCCCTGACGAAACATTGGAGAGGGGAAACTCTCAGCTGCATTCCTAAGTGCATGCATGTTCTCTCTCTCTTACCGGGACAGATTCCTCCATGTCTTTCTTGTTGAGCAGTGCGTGATTGATGCGCAGGACAATCCAGTCAAACAGGGCGCTGTACAGAGACTTGGCCATGGAGTCTCTCGCTGTGATGGCCTGACAGACAGAGAGACGGACAGAGAGACGGACAGAGAGAGATAGATAGAGCGAGACAGAGAGAGAGACAGAGAGAGACAGAGAGAGAGAGACAGAGAGAGATAGAGCGAGACAGAGAGAGAGACAGAGAGAGATAGATAGAGCGAGACAGAGAGAGATAGATAGAGCGAGACAGAGAGAGAGACAGAGAGAGATAGATAGAGCGAGACAGAGAGAGAGACAGAGAGAGATAGATAGAGCGAGACAGAGAGAGAGACAGAGAGAGATAAATAGAGCGAGACAGAGAGAGATAGATAGAGAGAGATAGATAGAGCGAGACAGAGAAAGACAGAGAGAGATTAGGAGCGAATGGGAAGACAGACAGAAGAAACAGACAGAGGGAGAAGACAGACAGACAGAGAAGACAGACAGACAGACAGACAGACAGACAGACAAAGACAGACAGACGGAGAAGACAGACAAAGACAGACAGACAGACACAGATGGAGAAGACAGACAGAGAAGACAGACAGACGGAGAAGACAGACACAGACGGAGAAGACAGACACAGACGGAGAAGACAAAACTGAGAAGACAGACATACGGAGAAGACAGACACAGACGGAGAAGACAGACACAGACGGAGAAGACAGACACAGACGGAGAAGACAGACACAGACGGAGAAGACAGACACAGACGGAGAAGACAGACAGACACAGGGAAATAGACGAGACCGCCACGTGACACACAACTAGCCTGGGGAATAACCCCATTAAGATAATGATAGGCCTTGAAGACCGGTGGATGGTTGCCTACCTCACTGTGGCTGTAGGGCAGAATCAGCTTGTCATTGACTGTCACCGTTTTCCTCTTAGTCAGCGCCTCCACTAGCAACTCCTCTTTCACCTGGGAGGTTACATACACACACACAATTCTCAAGGCCTGCGACATTACTGGGGACGGACAATAAAATACTTTGATTTAGTGGAGAGTAGGCTTCCTGTATAATCATTAGGGAGGAACCATCTTCACTGGACAATAATAAAATACATTCACTGTTTGGGATGTTAGTTATGATGAAACAGATACCTAGCCACATGTTTAGGTTATTGTAATGCTTTCAACCTCAAATACCTTTGTCTGAGTGGACCACTAATAATCCTAGGCCCGTTTTTCTCAAAGTGTTTCAGAGTAGGAGTGCTGATCTAGGATCAGTTTTTCCTTTTAGATCATAATGAATAAGACAGAGGGACCTGATCGTAGATCAGCATTCCAACCCTGACTGAGATGCTTTGTGAATGCAGGCCCTGATTCAGCTCATCATAAAGACCTTCATTAGCTGAATCAGAAGTGTTAGTATATGGTCGGGACAAAAGTACTTGGTCCCTCCAGGACCCAGAGTAAAGACTATTGGTTGATTGGGGTGTAGACTACAACAGCAGACCAGACGTTATTACCTTGAGCAGGTCTGAGAGGGTAGCCAGGACCTCCGGGGGTCCCACGTCCAGCCCCTCGTCTCGGCCTGTAGATTTCCTCATGTAAGTCACGTTGCCCAGGTACAAGATGGCCGACAGCACAGAGAAGATCCTACAGTGTACAGACGAGGGATATAATCATCATACCATATAATCCAAATGAATAGAAGAGACATTCTATTTCCATTGTTTCGACACATCACTGCCAACTACTGTGACTACTACCTCAGAGGAAAGGGTTTAATGGCAGTGCTTGTAGAGGTTCCAAGTAATACAACTGACTACAGTATGCAAATCTATATGACCTACTGTATTTGACTAACGTATAGGCAGCCATTTAAGGGATCGAATGGTGTGTAAGGGATAGACATTAACTCTAGTGGTGTAGATTTACGGCCCATGACCAGGGCATGTTCACTCACTGTTTCTTAGTGGCAGACAGGAAGCCCACCATCTCCATGGCCTGCTGCAGCCTCTCAAAGTCATGATGCAGGTCTTCCTCATCTTCTATCTTAAAGTTTTGCTGCAGAGAGAGAGGGAGAGGTGGAGGAAGAGGAAGAGGGAGAAGACAGAATGGGGAGAGAGGGGAAGGGGAGAACAAGAGAGACAAAGAGAGAGACAGAGAGAGAGCGAGAGAGAGACAGAGAGAGAGCGAGAGAGAGACAGAGAGAGCGAGAGAGAGACAGAGACAGAGACAGAGAGAGACAGAGACAGAGAGACAGAGAGAGAGAGAGAATGGTTCATTAACATGCAGTGCACATATGTGCAGAGAACAGAGCATAGCCCTGTGTAGCTCAGTTGGTAGAGCATGGCGCTTGCAACACCAGGGTTGTGGGTTCGTTTCCCACGGGGGGCCAGTATGAAAATGTATGCACTCACTAACTGTAAGTCGCTCTGGATAAGAGCGTCTGCTAAATGACTAAAATGTCAAATATAAAATGATATGCAGGCCATTCACTGCATGACAATGACTCCGCATACCAGATTTACTAACACTGAATCAGACGGGGAATGTTACCTTGAGCCAGTTCAAATACAGAGATTATTAAGACACGCACAACCCATGAATATAATGAGAATCAGGGTACAAGGGAATGTATTCTAAATATATGTAGTCAAGGGCATCCGGTAGAGGAAGATAATTAAGGTAATGTACACAAGAGAACACAGCAGAACATCCGTCAAGGGCACCTAAGGGACTAGCTAATGGGGATGTGGTTCTTTCTTGCAGGGGGAGTGTACAGTAACTAGGCATATACTGCTTAGGATAGAGGAAATAAACATACTATACAAGCAAAATCATATAAGATTTGACATTTTAACTGTGTGTGTGTGTGTCCACAGTACCTGTTTGAGGTAGAGGTAATCTTCAGGCTGCAGCAGTTTGAACTCCTTGCGCTCCTCCTCTGACGCTCCCACCAGCAGATAGTAAAACACATGGTAGTTCCTGAAGGGGGACAGAACAATGGAACGTCACGTGCTGTCTTTGGTGTGCTTGGTCAGTGGATACAATGTGGTTTTTGCGTTTCTTATTTGTTTGCTTCTGTTATTTGGTGGACAGAAGGTTATGTATTTTTAACTGGCGTGAATAAATCATTAAGTTATTTAAAAGGTGATGTTTTTTTTAAATGCTGGAATAAAGAGAATCAAAAGTCAACACTGTGGTAGTATTAGTTTCCCTGACCCAACATTGACTCTGTGTATATAACGTGCCAGTTTAGTAATCAGCGTGAATGCTGCTATCAGTTTTTCCAGTCTTGCTATCAGACGGCCGGTCGGCTTGCATTGTTGCAGAAGCACACAGGCGTTATGAGTTCTCATGTTTACTTCTGAGAATCTCACAGACATCACAGGCAGACAGACATGATGAAAACAGAAGCTCATTTCAACAGACATGTTGGTATATGAGTAACAACAGGACTAGTCCATTATCATATAATACTAGAACTCTCTGACACATACCTAGTGAGTAATAACATGAATAATAGTCCAATGGTTAATTCTATGTACAGGCTATGCCAACCCCACCCAGGGCATTTGAAGTAGAAATAGTAGGACTACAGTGCTTATCCCGGGTAAATAAATTATCAATTAAATATGTATTCATCAAAAAAATAAGTATAATCTCCCATATTGATCACAACTCTTTGGCACATATTCAGGCTGGGTAGAAAGTTAGCTCTGTGTCTAGGTCTGAGAATCACCCTTGGACATGGCATGTCTCTCTCTGACTATCAAAAGGCACCCCGGGGGAAGCTCCATCTGTTTGTACAGAGGGCCTCCACAGGTCATTGGGGGTCAAAGGTTATGACCCCTGCTGTTGCCCTTTACCTCTCGTTATTCTCTCTGGAGACCAGACGAGACTTCTCCAGGAGATACTTCTCCACGATGGCTCTGAGAACGAGGGAAAGAGGGGGGAGGGAGAGAGATAGAGAGAAATCAAAAGAGACCGAAAGAGAGAGCGAGAGGAGGGAGAGAGAGAACATAAATTAAGTGACACTGAAGATAGTCTGGTCCTTTCACTTGGCTGTGGAGTGTGTCTGGTGAGGGTCTCGTGTGTGTGTATGCGTGCGTGCGCGTTTGTGGCTGTGTGTGTCTGTATGTGTAGGGGTTGTATAAGTGAAAGTGGGGTGGTAGTGACTGAGGAGGAGGGGAATCATAAGCAGATGGTCGGTGGAACAATAAACAGTTGAACAAAGAGTCCAGATATGGACGACCTCAGTTTGGTGTACACAGTGACGTGGTCATGTTAATGTGCAACAACACAGCCACTATGATCAACAGTTTAAACATAGAGCTAATTGCATTTTTACATAGGCATGACTATGACAAAAACAACATGTAAGCTAATCTTTGTTGACACCCTAAGAATAGAGGGCCTATGGCTGCTCTGTGTATTTTAACACTGGAAGCTCAGGCAGGGAGGGAGCCCAGTACCCTTCGCTGGGCATGGAAACTTCACTAGCTGGCCCTTTGTGTCTCTATAGAGAACAGATCTAATAGAAAGCAAAGCAGTTTCAGGCAGGAAATACTGGAGTCCATACACAAGTCACACACAGAGACAGAGACAGAGACACACACGTCACACAGAGACAGAGACACACACAGAGACACACACGTCACACAGAGACAGAGACACACACAGAGACAGAGACACACACAGAGACAGAGACAGAGACACACACGGAGACAGAGACAGAGACACACACAGAGACAGAGACAGAGACACACACAGAGACAGAGACACACACAGAGACAGAGACAGAGACACACACAGAGACAGAGACAGAGACACACACAGAGACAGAGACACACACAGAGACAGAGACAGAGACACACACAGAGGACAGAGACACACACAGAGACAGAGACACACACAGAAACAGAGATACACACAGAGACAGAGACACACACAGAGACAGAGACAGAGACACACAGAGACAGAGACAGAGACACACAGAGACAGAGACAGAGACCGAGACACACACAGAGACAGAGACACACACAGAGACAGAGACACACACAGAGACAGAGACACACACAGAGACAGAGACACACACAGAGACAGAGACACACACGGAGACAGAGACACACACGGAGATAGAGACAGAGACACACACGGAGACAGAGACACACACGGAGACAGAGACACACACAGAGACAGAGACACACACAGAGACAGAGACACACACAGAGACAGAGACACACACAGAGACAGAGACACACACAGAGACAGAGACACACACAGAGACAGAGACACACACAGAGACAGAGACACACACAGAGACAGAGACACACACGGAGACAGAGACACACACGGAGATAGAGACACACACGGAGATAGAGACACACACGGAGATAGAGACAGAGACACACACAGAGACAGAGACACACACAGAGACAGAGACACACACGGAGATAGAGACAGAGACACACACAGAGACAGAGACACACACAGAGATAGAGACAGAGACACACACAGAGATAGAGACAGAGACACACACAGAGATAGAGACAGAGACACACACGGAGACAGAGACAGAGACACACACAGAGACAGAGACACACACGTCACACAGAGACAGAGACACACACAGAGACAGAGACACACACGGAGACAGAGACACACACAGAGACAGAGACACACATAGAGACAGAGACACACACAGAGACAGAGACACACACAGAGACAGAGACACACACGGAGACAGAGACACACACGGAGATAGAGACATATACAACCACACACATTTTACATTTTAGTCATTTAGCAGACGCTCTTATCCAGAGCAACTTACAGGAGCAATTAGGGTTAAGTGAACCTAGTCGGCTCGGGGATTCGAACCAGTGACCTTTCGGTTACTGGCCCAATGCTCTTAAGCGCTAGGCTACCTGCCGCTCTAGGCTAGCTGCCACACGAAGAGACAGATACACAAACAGGCAGAGGATCTTACTTTATCGCTAGTCTAGTCTTAAACTAAGGAGCCATGCCACAGGCAGCCCATCTCCCATCCCAGTGAGACCCTGTAACCAGCCAGGCAGGCAGAGTGTAATGTAGTGAATGAAAACACACTGCCAGTGCAGTGCTGAGCACTAGTCCCAGGGTTTCCCTTGGTAATAATCTCCTCTATAGAGCGGCCTTGGCTGCTCCACTCTCTGCTGCACACAGCAAGCCTTTGTTTAGCAGAATGTCAGCACTGTCCTGCTGTAATCAATGGCTTCTGACTGACAGACACTTTACTACAAGCATAACAAGCTCAACCAGCACTAGCACAGCCACTGAAGTCTCAACAGCAACTTTCAACAGTTCTTATTCAATTACTTTCTCCCCTCTCAAGCTAAGCAATTCAATATAAAATGATGAGTCCCTGTTTTAAGACCTTCTAATCAGGTTGGGAATCAATGGATGTCTGTATAGTACAGTAAGCTCATGTCGAACACTCATGTTTCATTTTGATATTGACGCTTTATTAAACTTTACGATAAGCGCTCTCTTCCTCTGTTAGAGAGGAAATGACAGGGCATGTGATGCAGGCATTAACCAATGAGACTGCAGGCAGTAACCAGAGAGACTGCAGGCAGAGAGAGGAAGGAGGCTGTGCAGTAACGTGGTTGGGGCTGCAGGCCTCAAAGAGGAATCACAACAGAAACAAACACACTACAGTGCTTCTCAATAGCCTTGTATGGTATGATGGAAGTAACAGTGGCTGTCTGCAGTCTCATGGAGGTTTCTGTGTGTCTGTGTGTGTGTGTTTAAAGCGTTACATGCAAACACACACTCAGGAACATCCACCAGGGATGGAGTGTGTGTTTACAGGGTAAGTCGGACAGGAGGATTGAGTGTGTCATCACAACACACAGTGTGGGCCAGTGGTAAGTACTCACCCTCTCACCACCCCACTCTCCAGGTAGTTGACCTGGATGAACTTCCCAAAGCGGCTGGAGTTGTTGTTGTGGGCCGTCTTGGCATTCCCAAACGCCTAGTAGAGAGAGGGGGGGGGTTACTTTCACTGTGTGAACCATAAAGTCATTATACAGTTAGGAAACATGAATAACTACACTTGTGCTAATACTGGGGCTGTTGTCAACAACAAAAGTCTGCTCAGAATGACAACACAGCTACCCCAGTCTAGAAGTCAACACTAGATGAAAACAGCAGCTGAGAGAGAGAGAGGGGGGGGGGGGCTGGAGCCATCCTCCCCTCCCCTCTTTCAATTCAATTCAATTTCAATTTAAAGGGCTTTATTGGCATGGGAAACATATGTTTACATTGCTAAAGCAAGTGAAATAGATAATAAACAAAAGTGAAATAAACAACAAAAAATGTAGAGTAAACATTACACTCACAAAAGTTCCAAAAGAATAAAGACATTTCAAGTGTCATATTATGTCAAATAGTTAAAGTATTATTTCTCTCCCTGCCTCTATCCTCCCCTAACCTCCCCCCTCCTTTCTACTCTCTTGCAGAAGTCCAGGGGGTGACACTAGGCCAGTATGATTGATGGGGGTATGGGGGGCCTGTGTTAGGTCCAGAGAACTAGTCTCCCTCAGGCTACAGCCAACCCCAGCCAGGGGTACACACCCAGCCCTGCCACCAGTCTGAATGGACAGCCCTGTTCTCACACACACACACAAAAGGCAGCCACAGGAGAAGTTGACTCTGTACATCTTAAATAGGAGCCACATCCTGCGGGGAGCACCAGTTGCAGTCAGAATTTGATACATTGGTGGTTGAGCTGATTTAAGGGGTGGGGGGCCACACAGAGGGGGTCTGATTAAGAATCCTTACAGTGAACTGTTGACCTATTTCCACTGTTCCTAGAATGGCTGTCCTGGTATTACTCTCTCTTTACCTAGTGCTCTTTGTGTTCTCAATCCATGAGCAGATTTACACTCACTATATCAACTTAACCTCCAGGATGAGTGCTGCTTGAAGAATCGTAAACGGAATACATTTTTGAGGGCTCAGAAAAAAGGTTACATTTTATGAAAATAACTTCATAATGCGAGGTAAATGTCAGAGTAAGAGAGACAGGAGTTGACTGAGGAGAAAAGACTGAAAAGCCTGGCTGAAACATCATCATCCGTGGACGAAATATGTGGTTTAACATGGACCTGTTGTAACATTTAGACTCCTCCTTCCCAGAGCTGGGGCTCACCTCAGGAGAATGTGTACATGCTAGTGTGTGAGCGTTGTTTACTGAGGGGGCGATAACATTGACACTGGGCCAGGATAAGACACTGTCAGCTGGCATTGACTGCCCAGTGTTGTCAAACGGTTGTCCCAGGGTGAAGGCTAGCAGACCCTGGGAACATTCCCCTGCACTCTGCCTCTCTGCCGTGGAGGAAATGCTAAACATGTCACAGGCTCACAGCATCATTCACATTGAAACATACCGCTCTGCAGCCTTTGTGATTGGTTGCTAGCCATAACCCTTTCTGATTGGTTGCGAGGCACATCAGGTATGAGGAAGTGGCTTAACGGCTTGGCTAACCAAGCAGAGTCTACGGAAACGAGTCTGCATAGTGAAATAAAGGATGTGTGTGTGTGTGTGTGAGTGTGTGTGTGTGTGATCATGACGTCTTTGCCTGTCTTGACTGGCTCCTTTCTCTTGTGTTCCCTGGCAGCCAAACCCCCTGTATATTTCCAAGGGCCTATATCCCCATTCAGTCCCTCAGTTGGCTGCCTCAGACTCCAACCAGTTCTCCTTACTAATCATAGCCTTCATTGTTATTGCACAGACAGGCACCTCAGTAGAAGGATCCTTCGTTTAAATTACTGCCATTTGTTTCCCAGTATCACTGCCAGGCTCTGACACCTCTCAACCACTTGGCTACATGCACAATATATTAATTGGAAACACATCGTAAGTAACAAATCAGGCTCTATCTGCATAATCTATAACTGTAGGCTGATGTGATAGCACCAATACTGGAACAACACAACAAACAACAGTACTCACAAGAATAAGAGCAAAACACCAGTGGTACTATAAATTACAAGGCCAATCTGATTGACGGTCAGAGATGCTGTGGGACATTCACATGATAGTTAGATATAACTGCACAACTTTTCCTTTATGCTTCGCCTTGCTGCAGGTCATCTACATGGCTAAGCAGACAAAGGACTCCAGGCACAACTCAACTGAGCCTCCCATCATTAAACCTGTAATATGTAACTTTTTGGGGCGACCCAACAAAATTCACAAAGAAATGTGGGTTATAGATCTGTCATTCTCATTGAAAGCAAGTCTAAGAAGTGGTAGATCTGTTCTATGTATGCTATTTCTATGCTTCCCATTCTTAAGTTTTATTTTTGCGTCTTTTACTCAAGTATGGGTAGCTGCAGCCCAATATGGCGACCGGAGTATGAGTGAGTGGGTATGTCGAAAGGAGTGGGTGTATGGAAAGCCAATCAGCTAACTGGGCAGATTTGTTGCCACTCAAGACTGTTTTGCCTGGCTGATTGGGCTGCACTATGAGTCGATATTAAGCCGGCGACCAGTGCTCCGGTGTTATGCCTGCCGACTTGAAGTGCTTCCTACTGGGTATCATGGTTGTGTCGCCGCCGGTAGCTAACATGGCACATTTTTTCTCTCCCATTATTTTATTTCAAGTAGGAAAGCAGCCTACACAAGAAATAACTAATATAGATAACGATCTAGATTTCACCTTGATACATAAGGCATGAAGCAACAGTATACCCATCATCAATACTTAAATAAAACATTGTCAGTTTTACAACTGAAAAATGTAAAATTACTTGTGTAAAACTAACAGTGAAATAAGACTCAGACACCCTCTGGCTTAAAAACAGAAGTCCAAACTCTTGCTCGTAGCCCAATGTACGGTAGTTGCACAGTAAGAAACCGAAGAAAAAAAACCCACAGCTTAATCACAACCGTCTAACCCAGGGGTGTCAAACTCATTTTAGCTCAGGGGCCACATGGAGGAAAATCTATTCCCAAGTGGGCCGGACCGGTAAAATCATGGTATATATAACTTAAAAACAACAACTTCAGATTGTTTTCTTTGTTTTAATACGATCAACATAAAACATAAAGCTGGAGCCTGAGGACAGTGTGTCCAAAATAGTACAAGCACAACATCACTATTAATCATAAAACACTTCAAGTTTATTTGAAAATTCTAAAGAAAAAGAACACAATGCCTCAGTGATTCACAGAAGTATATCACAGATCACATAACTATATCAGGGTGTCTCATGCAGCACTTTAAATGGGGTTGCATAGTTTATTTGACTCCTGATACCTGGCATCTTTTAGCTTTCACCAGCGCATCAATATTAGGCGTCACATCCTGAGTGGCAGCCAACTTCAGGATGTGATTCAAGTGCTCGTGCGTGAGCCTTGAGCACAGCTTTGTTTTATTTATGCTCATTACAGAGAAAACTTGCTCACAAAGATATGTGGTTCCAAACATGCACAACAGTTTTGCAGCGAGGGCTGTCAAGTTGGGGTAACCTGGCAAGAGATTCTGATAAAATGTGTCCAAGCCAGCTGCGGCAAATTTGCCCTTCAAATCCGAGTCACACTGCAAGTCTATTATTTCAAGTTGGATGCTGACGGGCAGATCAGAGGGATTCACGGTGAATGGCGAGCAAAAAACGTTGAAGTCTTTCTCTAGTTCACCAAAAATCTGAAAGCGTTGCACAAACTACCGTAACAGTCCCGTTATTTTATCTTTGAACCGCTTCATGTCTGCCACATGTTGGGTTGCGCACACATTTTTCAGACATGGGAAGTGAGCTGCATCACCACCGGCGAGTTGCGTCTCCCACAATGACAGCTTCAACTTGAAAGAACGTATGCTGTCATAATACTGCGTGACAACTTTGTTGCGCCCTTGCAGCTGTTTGTTCAAGTTATTCAGGTGCTCTATAACATCCACCATAAATGCAAGGTCCTGCATCCATTCTGCGGAATGAAATTCTAACACTGGTTTGCCCTTTTCTTCCATGAACTGTTCAATTTCTTCTCGTAAATCAAAGAAATGCCTCAGCACAGCACCTCGGCTTAACCATCTTACCTCAGTGTGGTATGGCAGGCCATAGATGTGGTCTTTCTCTCTGAGAAGGCTGTCAAACTGACGGTGATTCAGGCTTCTGGATTGGATGAAATTAACAGTTTGGATGACCACCTTCATGACGTTATCCATCTTTAATGACTTGCAACACAAAGCCTCCTGGTGCAAAATACAGTGAAAAGTCCAAAAATCACGTCCTCCATTTGCAGATTGCACTTTCTCTCTGAACTTTGTCACAACGCCTGCTTTTTTCCAGATCATTGAGGGCGCACCATCTGTAGCCAGGCTGACAGCGCGGGACCAGTCCACTCCGACCCTGTCCAGCGCGCCGACGAGTGCGGTGAAAATATCAGCTGCTGTCGTTGTATCTGTCATCGGCACCAACTCCACGAACTCCTCGGTGACGGTCAATGTGTCATCAACTCCGCGGATGAAAATGGCCAGTTGTGCAACATCTGTAATGTCCGTGCTTTCATCAATTGCAACCGAAAACGCAATAAATTACTTTACTTTTTGCTTCAACTGGCTGTCCAAATCCACTGAAAGATCGGAAATCTTTCTTGTCAGGCTGATATTTGCAAAAGCCTGGCGCTTTTCAGGGCACACAATCTCCGCTGCCTTCATCATGCATGTTTTTACAAATTCACCCTCACTAAATGGTTTTGAAGCCACTGCGATTTCATTAGCAATGAGGTAGCTAGCTTTCACTGCAGCGTCACGGATGTCTCGGCTGTGAGTAAACACAGACTGCTGTTTCTTCAGACCCGCCAACAGTTCATTCACCTTCTCTCTTCTCCGCTGTCCTTGAAAGTTGTCATATTTGTCGGCATGAAGACTCACATAGTGGCGACGAAGGCTATATTCTTTCAGCACTGCAACATGCTGTGAACACACAAAACATACAGCTTTCCCATTCAATTCCGTGAATAAATAGGAGGATGACCATTTTTCTTGGAACACTGCGTCCACTTTTCTCTTTTTTGATAGAGACATATTAGGGCAATGAGGGTGCCAAAGCACATAATGTTAAAAGTAGAAGCCGTAATAATAATCGCTGGCAAAACAAAGTAGCTCATCCGGACTGGCTGCACTTGCTTGACCTACTTGCTCTGCCCCGGTATAAACAGTTTGCTTAACAAAATTGCTATTGCGCCATCCAGTGGACGCAATTGGAACAGCGGTTTATTTTATTGAAAAATTGCAGCACATTTTTATACTTTACAAAATAATCTCGCGGGCCGGATTAAACCTGTTTGCGGGCCTGATCCGGCCCGTGGGCCGGACGTTTGACACCCCTGGTCTAACCTATAGCAGAGTGCTTTCGACACACCCACTCCTTTCCAAAGCCCATTATTTTCCTTTCGACACACCCACTCGCCCATACTCCGGTCGTCATATTGGGATGCAGCTAGCCCCTTCTCCTTTTACTTTCAGTTTTGTACCCCAGCTTCAAATAGCTGAAAATACAGAATTTGGTTGAAAGAATTGACAGCCCCATCTCAGATAAACACATTTCAACAGGCCTGAGTAATCAAGCTGCACTCATTTGTCTTGACTGGAAAATAAACAAAAGGGGTTGAATGTCAGCTCAGTGGAAAGAATAAAGAGATTTGATTGGAGAGGTCTCTGGTTAAATTGCTTCAATATGCATCTGCTCTGCTGCAGTCAGAGGATGGACAGCCACATATTAGTACAATATCCTGTGTACTGCAGCCAGTCAGGGCTTCAGGGAGTCTCGCTCCAATGCCATGGCTCACCAGACTGGTCCCATTTCAAGGAGCCACACCCAGGGAACCACATCAAGATATGTTAGTGCTATCCGGTATCCTTGGGACGTCCCTACCCTAAACCCTAACCTTAACCATAACCCTTACCTTAACCATTTTAAATGTAAACTTCAATTGGGGGTAGGGACGTCCCAATGATCCCTGATAGCAAGGACCCATCAAGATACAGGCTGTGGTCAATGCCATGAAAACTGTACAACTTGGCTGGCCTGTTACATGAGAACCTGTGCTGGTTACTTGGAAAATAATACACAGACACTTATGTTCCTAGCCGGTGAACAGAGACAACTAGTGAGCTTCGCAAGAATGTAAAGATTTAAAACAGGGGGCAAAATATGACCTAAAATATGAGCAAACGATCACATCCCTTGAGACCTAAGCTAATTTGATGTAGCATAGCTCACAGTAGGTGACTGACAAATTGCTAAGTAGCTGCTGATGAATGGCCAAAACAAAAGGATTGGTATTGCAGGAGCTCAGGCCATTGTTGTGTGTCAGCACTGTAGTGCCATCGGGCACCCAGTCTGGCTATATATAGCCAGCGAAGAGTAGAAACGCAGGAAGGCTGGGAGATAAACAATAGCCGCACAGAAGGGGCGCTAGACTTCCTGAGCAACAATGCGGCGTCTGTTGACACCTCTAGTGGGCCGATTGGCCAATTGCGAGGGGAGGCTCCTGCAGCTAGCTCTTCCTGTAGCATCAAACTGCTGCTTCCTGTTGGAGTCTGCTGTTAGATCTGACTGACAGGAGGTTCCTGTCTGCGGGCTGAGAGACTGTGTGTGGCATGAGGTTGGTTAGACTGGCTCAGAATCACTACTATGGGCTTCTGGGTGCTGAAGGTACAAGGTAGGGGTTAAAAGGATACTTCAGGATTTTGGCAATGAAGCCCTTTATCTACTTCCCCAGAGTCAGACGAACTCTTGGATACTATTTTCTGTGCATGCAGTTTGAAGGAAGTTGCTAACTAGCGTTAGCACAATGACTGGAAGTCTATGGTAACTGCTAGCATGCTAGTTAGCATTGGCATGTGAAACTACCTTTTAACTTTCATACTAGAGACATAAAAATGGTATCCATGAGTTAATCTGAATCTGGGGAAGTGGATAAAGGGCTTCATTGCCAAAATCCCAAAGTATCCCTTTAAATCCTGGCTTAACTCTGGGCTTTTTGCTTGGTAGGCACATCAGCCAATCAATCAATAAACCAACCAATGTGCACTATCCAAAAAGATGTCACATATACTAGGCTATAGAAAAAATTTAATGCACAACCTTCATGCACAGAGAGAGAGTAAAGATAACAGCTTTTATCTGATAGTCTAGGCTAATAATACTGGAGTACCATGAGAACAGTGTGGGCAGCATACTGTTAAGACTTGACTGGAAGATCTAGAGATGGCGTGTACTGATAATCAACCTGTGAGTCTTCTCAGTAAAGCAAACCTTCATTCGACTACTCAGCGCGTCAAAAGTATGATGAAACGCTCTACTACCGTTGTAATGTTCAAGTCTTAGCCCTGCAGTTAGAGAACACAACACCCGAATCAAAGTAAAGCAGCCGTGAAACATATCTTGCTGTATCGCATACTTTTTTTGTAAAAGGAGGGACCTGCCGAAAACAGCCATTCAAAGCACGAGGGAAAAACACATGAGAACTGCAGAGAAACCGGTATAACCAGTTGTGTGAAGAAATTATGGCAGACCCCATGCAGTCGACTGGTCGACCGAGATCTCTTTAGTTGAGCAGTAGCAAAAAAAGAAATATAACGTTCATGGTGTACTGTCTGAGTGGACTAATCCATTGTGGAGACCGTGGGGATGGCACAGTCCATCACTCTAAGACATGTGCTACTGAAAATGTATATGGTTATATTACATAAGAACAATGGAGCAACACTAATAAAAATAATATTATTTAATAACAAATGTGTTTCTCCCACGTTGGATAGCGGTAGCTGTCCACAGTTCTGAAACACATCAGCTGAATTGGCGCCTTTTCCGACACCATGTTGCTATGTGCATAATAGCAAAGTTAACCAGCATATCAGTGTTGAGAGCAATGTGGTGGAGGCAGCAGTGGAGTTAGGAGACGAGAAAACTGCACATGCCTTAATTGTCTAAGAAAAGTGAGGAGAGGAAACCCCAACTTCATTAGGTCTATAATCAATAGCCTAACTGTTAAATGGGCCTGGCTTTATAAATCATCCATATACACTGCATTCGGAAAGTATTCAGACCCCTTGACTTTTTCCACACTTTGTTACGTTACAGCCTTATTCTAAAATGGATTTAAAAAAAATTCCCCTCACCAATCTACACACTATACCCCATAATGACAAAGCAAAAACAGGTTTTTAGAAACTTTTGCAAACAGAAATATCACATTTATATAAAAGTATTCAGACCCTTTACTCAGTACTTTGTTGAAGCACCTTTGGCAGTGACTACAGCCTCGGGTCTTCTTGGGTATGACGCTACAAGCTTAGCACACCTGTATTTGGGGAGTTTCTACCATTCTTCTCTGCAATCCTCTCAAGCTCTGTCAGGTTGGATGGGGAGCGTCGCTGCACAGCTATTTTCAGGTATCTCCAGAGATGTACAATCGGGTTCAAGTCCGGGCTCTGGCTGGGCCACTCAAGGACATTCAGAGACTTGTCCCGAAGCCACTCTTGCGTTGTCTTGGCTGTGTGCCTCGGGTCGTTGTCCTGTTGGAACGTGAACCTTCGCCCCCAGTCTGAGGTCCTGAGCTCTCTGGAGCAGGTTTTCATCAAGGATCTCTCTGTACTTTGCTCCGTTCATCTTTCCCTCGATCCCGACTAGTCTCCCAGCCCCTGCCGCTGAAAAAGTTCCCCACAGCATGATGCTGCCACCACCATGCTTCACCGTAGGGATGGTGCCAGGTTTCCTCCAGACATGACGTTTGGCATTCAGGCCAAAGAGTTCAATCTTGGTTTCATCAGACCAGAGAATCTTGTTCCTCATGGTCTGAGAGTCCTTTATGTGCCTTTTGGCAAACTCCAAGCGGGCTGTCATGTGCCTTTTACTGAGGAGTGGCTTCCGTCTGGCCAATCTACCATAAAATGCCTGACTGGTGGAGTGCTGCAGAGATGGTTGTCATTCTAGAAGGTTCTCCCATCTCCACAGAGGAACTCTGTCAGAGTGACCATCGGGTTCTTGGTGACCTCCCTGACCAAGGCCCTTCTCTCCCGATTGCTCAGTTCGGCCAGGCGGCCAGCTCTAGGAAGAGTCTTGGTGGTTTCAAACTTCTTCCATTTAAGAATGATGGAGGCCACTGTGTTCTTGGGGGCCTTCACTGCTGCATAAATGTTTTGGTAACCTTCCCCAGATCTATGCCTCGACACAATCCTGTCTCGGAGCTCTACGGACAATTGCTTTGACCTCATGGCTTGGTTTTGCTCTGACATGCACTTTCAACTGTGGGACCTTATATAGACAGGTGTGTGCCTTTCCAAATCATGTCCAATCAATTCAATTTACCACATGTGGTCTCTAGTCAAGATGTAGAAACATCTCAAGGATGATCAAAGGAAACAGGATGCACCTGAGCTCAATTTCAAGACTCATAGCTAAGGGTCTGAATACTTATGTAAATAATGTATTCGGTTTTTATTTTGAATACATTTGTCTTGCTCACGTTGAGGGAGAGGTTGTTGTCCTGGCACCCCACTGCCAGGTCTCGGACCTCCTCCCTATAGGCTGTCTCATCGTTGTCGGTGATCAGGCCTACCACTGTTGTGTCGTAAGCAAACTTAATGATGGTGTTGGAGTCGTGTGTGAACAGGGAGTACAGGAGGGGACTAAACACGCACCCCTGAGGGGCCCCCGTGTTGAGGATCAGTGTGGTAGATGTGTGGTTGCCTACCCTTACCACCTGGGGGCGACCCGTCAGGAAGTCCAGGATCCAGTTGCAGAGGGAGGTGTTGAGTCCCAGGGTCACTATGGTGTTGAACGCTGAGCTGTAGTCAATGTACAGCATTGTCACATAGGTGTTCCTTTTGTCAAGGTGGGAACGGGCAGTGTGGAGTGCGATTGAGATTGCGTCATCTGTGGATCTGTTGGGGCTGTATGCAAATTGGAGTGGGTCTAGGGTTTCCGGAGTGATGGTGTTGATGTGAGTCATGACCAGCCTTTCAAAGCACTTCATGCCTACCGATGTGAGTGCTACGGGGCGGTAGTCATTTAAACATGTTGATATTACAGACTCGGTCAGGGAGAGGTTGAAAATGTCAGTGAAGACACTTGCCAGTTGTTCCGCGCATGCCCTGAGTACACGTCCTGGTAATCCGCGGCCTTGTGAATGTTGACCTGTTTAAAGGTCTTGCTCACATCGGCTACGGAGAGTGTGATCACACAGTCGTCCGGTAAAGCTGGTGCTCTCATGCATGCTTCAGTGTTGCTTACCTCGAAGCGAGCATAAAAAGGCATTTACCTCATCTGGTAGGCTCGCGTCACTGGGCAGCTCGCGGCTGGGTTTCCCTTTGTAGTCTGTAATAGTTTGCAAGCCCTGCCATATCCGACGAGCGTCAGAGCCGGTGTAGTAGGATTCAATCTTAGTCCTGTATTGACACTTTGCATGTTTGATGGTTCGTCTGAGGGCATAGCGGGATTTCTTATAAGCGTCCGGATTAGTGTCCAGCTCCTTGAAAGCGGCAGCTCTAGCCTTTAGCTCGGTGCCGATGTTGCCTGTAATCCATGGCTTCTGGTTGGGATATGTACGTACGGTCACTGTGGGGACGACATCGTCGATGCACTTATTGATGAAGCCGGTGACTGATGTGGTATACTCCTCAATGCCATTGGATGAATCCCGGAACATATTCCAGTCTGTGCTAGCAAAACAGTACTGTAGCGTAGCATCCGTGTCATCTGACCACTTCCTTATTGAGCGAGTCACTGGTACTTCCTGCTTTAGTTTTTGCTTGTAAGGAGGAATCAGGAGGATTGAATTATGGTCAGATTTTCCAAATGGAGGGCGAGGGAGAGCTTTGTATGCACCTCTGTGTGTGGAGTAAAGGTGGTCTAGCGTTTTTTTCCCCTCTGGTTGCACATGTGATATGTTGGTAGAAATGAGGTAAAACGGATTTAAGTTTGCCTGCATTAAAGTCCCCGGCCACTAGGAGTGCCGCTTCTGGATGAGCATTTTCTTGTTTGCTTATGGCCTTATACAGCTCGTTGAGTGTGGTCTTAGTGCCAGCATCAGTTTGTGGTGGTAAATAGACGGCTACAAAAATATAGATGAAAACTCTCTTGGTAGATGGTGTGGTATACAGCTTATCATGAGGTACTCTACCTCAGGCGAGCAATATCTCGAGACTTCCTTGACATTGCGCACCTGCTGTTATTGACAAATAGACACACACCCCCACCTCTCGTCTTACCAGATGTAGCTGTTCTGTCCTGCCGATGCACGGAAAACCCAGCCAACTGTATATTATCCGTGTCGTCGTTCAGACACGACTCGGGGAAACATAAGATATTACAGTTTTTTATGTCCCGTCAGTAGGATAGACTTTAACGGAGATCATCCAGTTTATTCTCCAGTGATTGCACATTGGCCATTAGAACGGATGGTAGAGGCGGGTTACCCAATCGTCTGATGAATTCTCACAAGGAACCCCGATCTCCGCCCCCTGTGTTTCCGTATTTTCTTCACGTGAATGACGGGATTTGGGCCTGGTCTCAGAGAAGCAGTTTATCCTTCGCGTCGGACTCATTAAAGAAAAAATCTTGGTCCAGTTCTTTGTGAGTAATCGCTGTTCTGATATCCAGAAGCTATTTTCGGTCATAAGAGACGGTAGCAGCAACATTAATGTACAAAATAAGTTACAAACAACGCGAAAAAACACAAAATAGCACAGTTGGTTAGGAGCCCGTAAAACGGCTGCCATCCCCTCCGGCGCCATTGTGGTTGGACTCCCTCTAGTAATTTGTGTGTCTTAATTATTTAATCAAACAGCGTGCTTAAAGCATCAGACAAGCTCAGTGCATATAGTTGACATGATTAAAATACATAGGATGTGTCTACACATCCTAAAAAAAATACACGTTAAAAAATTTAGACCAATCGATTTGTCGAAAGAACAGACGGCTCTCGGTCGACTAAGATTTTGTTGTTGTTTGGGACAGCCCTAGAAGAAATTCAGATTTAGAGCAGGCTGTTCATATGATGCGAAACTCATCATTCCGGCTGCATTTCTGCATGCTTTAACGTCAATAGCTCAGATTCACATGAAAACATGAAATTACCCCGGGAATCGATAGAACACCGCTCAGAGATGCACAAAAATGTTTTAACATTCAAAATGGGTGATTCCTTCAGTTTAACTCCTTTGTGGACATTGGACAATCAGAGGCAGGAGACAATGGAGGCTAATATAATGTGAGAAACTTACCATTTCTAATATTAAGTTTCATCTGAAGTTCGGATAAACTCAGAGGCCATTGCGTAGTCGATCGGAGAAAGATGATTGGAGTTGTGTTCAAGAGGTAAAGTTGAATCCTGTCTAAATGCTAAGGTAGTCTAGTCCATACAGCACACTGGAAGTTAAAGAGAGTCACGCTACAACGCCAAAGATCTCACCACATCAAAATGCAACTGAAGCTGAAGAGTTCCTTTATAGCTTCAGAGCCCAGACAGAGAGGAAACACAGCTCACCTTTTACTGATTCAAACTTGGACTGCCTCCAAGAAAAAGGAGCTGATACAACAAAATGCCAAAATGTGAAGACTAAAAGTAACCTCATATTGAAGCCATTAGTTGGAACTGGACTCGTTGGAAGAGGAAACTGCAAGACAGGGATAAGAATATTGCTTCCTCTGTAAAATGCCATTTCATGTCAGCCATCTTGTGGGGTTGTTGCAGAAGATTGAGAGGAGGCTGTGTGTGTGTGTGTGTATGTGTGTGTGTGTGTGTGTGTGTGTGTGCGTGTGTGTGGTGTTGAGGGGCTGGTAAAGCTGTTTCGGGGGAGTCAGGATGGAGCTTCCGGTCCTGGCTGAGCCTGGGTGGGTCTCGGTTGTTTCACGGGCCAGTCCCTCAGTCTGCCCATCAGACAACAGGCCTGGGGAAGCAGCAGAGCAGTCTGGAGCAGAGAGAGAACCAGCCTCAACCAGCCTGCCAAGGGGACACAGACTCTGCTGACTGAGGGGAAAATCACTTCAGTTCTCTCCAACCAAAGACCTGAGACAGACATGCATCAAGGGACCATCTATTCATCCTTCTGCTGCCTTTGAACGCTGCACAAAGACTAGTCTCTCTTGTAAAAGGGTCATGGATTTTGAGGATCTGTTTGACGGATAGTATGCCAGCTACGGTATTCTCTTCTATTCTGCCCACTCTGCAGTTCAGGAAATGGACCAGACCAGTTGAAATATAGGGGTAAATGCTGTCATTCAAGTGTGAATAACCAGATTGAACACTTTGCGTTAGAATCCAAGGAGGTCTGATAAATGTATCCAGATAAGTTACAATGCTGCATTTACTTCCAATAAATTGCATTCCTCAAGGCCTTTTCTAGTTTATTACCAATTTGTTTGCCATATTACTGAGGAAATAAAATGAAGAATAATGTGAGAGGGATTTGCTGCCAGATTAGAGCTGGGGCTCATTACTTTCAAACACCAATGAAAGCAGCCAGCTCCACACACAAATGTACAACCAAATGGCCAGTGTCGATTTCTACTGCTCACGTGTGTGTGTGTGTGTGTGTGTGTGTTATCTGTGTTACACATTTGGCAAATCTGCTGAGGTATAAGTTTTCTGCATTCTGTGTTGGGGGGTTGAAAATGCGTGTGTTACTGGTGTGAGAATGCGCGTGCAGTTTTCTGTGTTGGAATGTCCAGGCTGACTCAGAGGTGGCAAGGTGCCTGGGGCCCAGAGCAGAGCAGGCCTTTCCTCCTGCATTCAGTGATTGACTCAGCCAGATTACCATCTCTAACAGGAAGTGCTTCATAATGTCACATGACCATGGTCCCAGAGGTCACTGACATCCAAGACTCAGAAAGCAGCTCAAATAGCCTCTCATCACTGGAGTGTATCACAACTACTGTACTATCCCACTTGTGATGTAAGGAAAAGGCCACTATGTGTATGAAAAAACCTTGAGCTGTCAAAACGTGGGAGAGAAAACCTACAGATACACTACCAGCCAAAGGTTTTAGAACACCTACTCATTCAAGGGTTTTTCTTTATTTTTACTATTATCTACATTGTAGAATAATAGTGAAGACATCAAAATGATGAAATATCAAGCACTATGATGAAACTGGCTCTCATGATGACCGCCACAGGAATGGATGACCCAACGTTACCTCTGCTGCAGAGGATAAGTTCATTAGAGTTACCAGCCTCAGAAATTGCAGCCCAAATAAATGCTTCACAGAGTTCAAGTAAGACACATCTCAACATCAACTGTTCAGAGGAGACTGAGAATCAGACCTTCATGGTCGAATTGCTGCAAAGAAACCACTACTAAAGGACACCAATAAGAAGAACACACTTGCTTGGGCCAAGAAAGATGAGCAATGGACATTAGACCGGTGGAAATGTGTCCTTTGGTCTGGGGTCCAAATTTGAGATTTTTGGTTCCAACCGCCGTGTCTTTGTGAGACGCGGTGTGGGTGAACGGATGATCTCCGCATGTGTAGTTCCCACCATAAAGCATGGAGGAGGAGGTGTTATGGTGTGGGGGTGCTTTGCTGGTGACACGGTCTGTGATTTATTTAGAATTCAAGGCACACTTAACCAGCATGGCTACCACAGCATTCTGCAGCGATACGCCATCCATTCTTGTTTGGGCTTAGTGGGACTATCATTTGTTTTTCAACAGGACAATGACCCAACACACCTCCAGGCTGTGTATGGGCTATTTGACAAAGGAGAGTGATGGAGTGCTGTATCAGATGACCTGGCCTCCACAATCCCCCGACCTCAACCAAATTGAGATGGTTTGGGATGAGTCGGACCGCAGAGCGAAGGAAAGACTGTTGGAAAAGCATTCCTCATGAAGCTGGTTGAGAGAATGCCAAGAGTGTGCAAAGCTGTCATGAAGGCAAATGGTAGCTACAGTGGGGAGAACAAGTATTTGATACACTGCCGATTTTGCAGGTTTTCCTACTTACAAAGCATGTAGAGGTCTGTAATTTTTATCATAGGTACCCTTCAACTGTGAGAGACGGAATCAACAGTGAGAAACAAAAATCCAGAAAATCACATTGTATGATTTTTAAGTAATTCACCTACCAACCAGTAAGAATTCCGGCTCTCACAGACCTGTTAGATTTTCTTTAAGAAGCCCTCCTGTTCTCCACTCATTACCTGTATTAACTGCACCTGTTTGAACTCGTTACCTGTATAAAAGACACCTGTCCACACACTCAATCAAACAGACTCCAACCTCTCCACAATGGCCAAGACCAGAGAGCTGTGTAAGGACATCAGGGATAAAATTGTAGACCTGCACAAGGCTGGGATGGGCTACAGGACAATAGGCAAGCAGCTTGGTGAGAAGGCAACAACTGTTGGCGCAATTATTAGAAAATGGAAGAAGTTCAAGATGACGGTCAATCAACCTCGGTCTGGGGCTCCATGCAAGATCTCACCTCGTGGGGCATCAATGATCATGAGGAAGGTGAGGGATCTGCCCAGAACTACACGGCAGGACCTGGTCAATGACCTGAAGAGAGCTGGGACCACAGTCACAAAGAAAACCATTAGTAGCACACTACGCCATCATGGATTAAAAATCCTGCAGCGCACGCAAGGTCCCCCTGCTCAAGCCAGCGCTGCAAAATCTGGACCCCTACAAATCAGCTGGGCTAGACAATCTGGACCCTTTCTTTCTAAAACTAGCCGCCGAAATTGTCGCAACCCCTATTACTAGTCTGTTCAACCTCTCTTTCATAACGTCTGAGATCCCCAGAGATTGGAAAGCTGCCGCGGTCATCCCCCTCTTCAAAGGGGGTGACACTCTAGATCCAAACTGCTACAGACCTATATCCATCCTGCCCTGCCTTTCGAAAGTATTCGAAAGCCAAGTTAACAAACAGATCATCGACCATTTCGAATACCACCGTACCTTCTCCGCTATGCAATCCGGTTTCCGAGCTGGTCACGGGTGCACTTCAGCCACGCTCAAGGTCCTAAACGATATTATAACCGCGATTGATAATAGACAGTACTGTGCAGCCGTCTTCATCGACCTGGCCAAGGCTTTCGACTCTGTCAACCACCGCATTCTTATTGGCAGACTAAATAGCCTTGGTTTCTCAAATGACTGCCTCGCCTGGTTCACCAACTACTTCTCAGATAGAGTTCAGTGTGTCAAATCGGAGGGCCTGTTGTCTGGACCTATGGCAGTCTCTATGGGGGTGCCACAGGGTTCAATTCTTGGGCCGACACTTTTCTCCGTGTATATCAATGATGTCGCTCTTGCTGCTGGTGACTCTCAGATCCACCTCTACGCAGACGACACCATTTTGTATACATCTGGCCCTTCATTGGACACTGTGTTAACAAACCTCCAAACGAGCTTCAATGCCATACAACAATCCTTCAGTAGCCTTCAACTGCTCTTAAACACTAGTAAAACTAAATGCATGCTTTTCAATCGAACGCTGCTAGCACCCGCCCACCCGACTAGAATCACCACTCTCGACGGGTCTGACCTAGAGTATGTGGACAACTACAAATATCTAGGTGTCTGGTTAGACTGTAAACTCAACTTCCAGACTCACATAAAGAATCTCCAATCCAAAGTTAAATCTAGAATCGGCTTCCTATTTCGCAACAAAGCCTCCTTCACTCATGCTGCCAAACATGCCCTCGTAAAACTGACTATCCTACCGATCCTTGACTTCGGCGATGTCATTTACAAAATAGCCTCCAACACTCTACTCAGCAAATTGGATGTAGTCTATCACAGTGCCATCCGTTTTGTCTCCAAAGCCCCATACACTACCCACCACTGTGACCTGTACGCTCTTGTTGGCTGGTCCTCACTACATGTCCGTCGTCAAACCCACTGGCTCCAGGCCATCTATAAATCACTGCTAGGCAAATCCCCGCCTTATCTTAGCTCATTGGTCACCATAGCAGCACCCACCCGTAGTCTGCGCTCCAGCAGGTATATCTCACTGGTCATTCCCAAAGCCAACACCTCCTTTGGCCGCCATTCCTTCCAGTTCTCTGCTGCCAATGACTGGAACGAATTGCAAAAATCTCTGAAGCTGGAGACTCTTATCTCCCTCAATAACTTTACGCATCAGTTGTCAGAGCACCTTACCGATCACTGCACCTGTACACAGCCCATCTGAAATTAGCCCACCCAACTACCTCATCCCTATATTGTTATTTATTTTGCTCTTTTGCACCCCAGTATCTCTATTTGCACATAATCTCTTGCACATCTAGCATTCCAGTGTTAATACTATTGTAATTATTATGCACTATAGCCTATTTATTGCCTTACCTCCATAACTTGCTACATTTGCACACACTGTATATATATTTTCTGTTGTATTTCTGACTTTATGTTTTTTTACCCCATATGTAACTCTGTGTTGTTTTTATTGCACTACTTTGCTTTATCTTGGCCAGGTCGCAGTTGTAAATGAGAACCTGTTCTCAACTGGCTTACCTGGTTAAATAAAGGTGAAATAAAAAATAAAAAAAATAAAAAAATAAAAAATGTCCAGGCCCGTCTGAAGTTTGCCAATGACCATCTGGATGATCCAGAGGAGGAATGGGAGAAGGTCATGTGGTCTGATGAGACAGAAATAGAGCTTTTTGGTCTAAACTCCACTCGCCGTGTTTGGAGGAAGAAGAAGGATGAGTACAACCCCAAGAACACCATCCCAACCGTGAAGCATGGAGGTGGAAACATCATTCTTTGGGGATGCTTTTCTGCAAAGGGGACAGGACGACTGCACCGTATTGAGGGGAGGATGGATGGGGCCATGTATCGCGAGATCTTGGCCAACAACCTCCTTCCCTCAGTAAGAGCATTGAAGATGGGTCGTGGCTGGGTCTTCCAGTATGACAACGACCCGAAACACACAGCCAGGGCAACTAAGGAGTGGCTCCGTAAGAAGCATCTCAAGGTCCTGGAGTGGCCTAGCCAGTCTCCAGACCTGAACCCAATAGAAAATCTTTGGAGGGAGCTGAAAGTCCGTATTGCCCAGCGACAGCCCCGAAACCTGAAGGATCTGGAGAAGGTCTGTATGGAGGAGTGGGCCAAAATCCCTGCTGCAGTGTGTGCAAACCTGGTCAAGACCTACAGGAAAGGTATGATCTCTGTAATTGCAAACAAAGGTTTCTGTACCAAATATTAAGTTCTGCTTTTCTGATGTATCAAATACTTATGTCATGCAATAAAATGCTAATTAATTACTTAAAAATCATACAATGTGATTTTCTGGATTTTTGATTCCGTCTCTCACAGTTGAAGTGTACCTATGATAAAAATTACAGACCTCTACATGCTTTGTAAGTAGGAAAACCTGCAAAATCGGCAGTGTATCAAATACTTGTTCTCCCCACTGTATTTGAAGAATCTCAAATCTCAAATATATTTTGATTTGTTGAACACTTTTTTGGTTACTACATGATTCCATAAATGTTATTTCATAGTTTTGATGTCTTCACTATTATTCTACAATGTAGAAAAAGTCAAATGAAAAAAAAAACTTGAATGAGTAGGTGTTCTAAAACTTTTGACCAGTAGTGTAGGTGTGTTTGTTCCTCTAACATCAAGTCCAAACAAAGACAGCTGTGGGTTAGCACGAGCCAGGGAATCAGTCAGGCTGTCATCAGTCAGAAGCCGACAGGCGCCAGGGACATATAGCCTCTTCTACTCACAGAGAAGGGAGGAAGTGCAACTCACCAGACCCAAAACACTAATGATTCCCACACAGTTTTGCTGTACGCTGATTGTTATCCCCTTGTTGTAACTCGTATCGTACTAGGCCTAAACGTGTTGATTGATTCTAACTACCATGGCTGGCTCGTTCCTAGAACTTGAGTTTTTCCAATTAAGTGTAATGAATGGTAGCAATTGTTCAACATATAATACAGTTGAAGTTGGAAGTTTACATACACCTTAGCCAAATACATTTAAACTCTGTTTTTCACAATTCCTGACATTTAATCCTAGTAAAAATTCCCTGTCTTAGGTCAGTTAGGATCACCACTTTATTTTAAGAATGTGTAATGTCAGAATAATAGTAGAGAGAATGATTTATTTCAGCTTTTATTTATTTCATCACATTCCCAGTGGGTCAGAAGTTTACATACACTCAATTAGTATTTGGTAGCATTGCCTTTACATTTTTTTCCTTGGGTCAAACGTTTCGGGTAGCCTTCCACAAGCTTCCCACAATAAGTTGGGTGAATTTTGGCCCATTCCTCCTGATAGAGCTGGTGTAACTGAGTCAGGTTTGTAGGCGTCCTTGCTCGCACACGCTTTTTCAGTTCTGCCAACACATTTTCTATAGGATTTTTTTGTTGTTATTCTGTCTCTCACTGTTCAAATAAACCTACCATTAAAATTATATAGACTGATCATTTCTTTGTCAGTGGGCAAACGTACAAAATCAGCAGGGGATCAAATACCTTTTTCCCCTCACTGTACTTGCGTACTATTGTTTGTACAGATGAACGTGGTACCTTCAGGCGTTTGGAAATTGCTCTCAAAAGATGAACCAGACTTGTGGAGGTCTACAATTCTTTTTCTGAGGTCTTGGCTGATTTCTTTTGATTTTCCCATGATGTCAGGCAAAGAGGCACTAAGTTTGAAGATAGGCCTTGAAATACATCCACAGGTACACCTCCAATTGACTCAAATGATGTAAATTAGCCTATAAGAAGCTTCTAAAGCCATGACATCATTTACTGGAATTTTCCAAGATGTTTAAAGGCACAGTCAACTTAGTGTATGTAAACTTCTGACCCACTGGAATTGTGATACAGTGAATTAAGTTAAATAATCTGTCTGTAAACAATTGTTGGAAAAATTACTCAAGCACAAAGTAGATGTCCTAACCGACTTGCCAAAACTGTACTTTGTTAACAAGAAATTTGTGGAGTGGTTGAAAAACGAGTTTTAATGACTCCAACCTAAGTGTATGTAAACTTCAGACTTCAACTGTATATTGCAATAATGTGTATGATCTAATTAGAATTGACAATTAGGTTTAGCTCCAGACCACAAATAGAAGATGGAACATTACATTGAACCACATGGGAGCTCTAGAGCTTTTCAGTTATTCTAAAGCTGGTGTCTAGAAAGTATTTCCATGAGCTTTCCTTCAGTTTGCACAGCTGTTCAAGATAAGACACTGACTCCTGGTCAAGGGCCTGATCTTCACTCTATTCTCACATGACATGACTCATGAGACACTGATATAGAACAAAGGGGGTATATCACAATGCAGGATCACTTTCAGTAAAAACATTCAGATATAACTGTTTGTTATCTTCCAGAAAGCCAAAGTTGAATGGGTTATTGAGCTCAAAGCGTAATTTGCATCAACACCATATAATTTAAGTTAACCTTTCTTCAGGACCTAGTCAATTTTGAGTTGTTTGAGAAGGAGCTTTGTAAAGGGTTAAACTGAGGCCTTGGCTAATACTTCCACATCTTTTCTCTCTCATTTCTTCTTTTTGGGGAAAACAGCTTTTACAACTGTCTCTACATGCTTGGAGATCATCTTTCACCCCCTCTGGTCATGACTGATGACTATAACTGAGATCTTCAACTCCTGGCTCAAGTTAACAAGACATTTGACTAGGGGCACATCTCAAAAGACAGAAGTGACTTCCATTCCTCTTCTCTGGAAGAACTAGGTTTGCTGCTCTGTCTTCATGGTTCTTGGACTTCTTCAATAGTACTCATGTGGACACAGCGCAGACTCATGCATCTTCTGTCATGACAACATTAGTCACCTATGTACAGGAATCATCTTCCTTGGGAATGAGCCATCAGCAAAAAACAAATTTCACACCGGTTTAAATCCCTGCTTCTATGCAAACCTTGACTTTGTGAGACTGTGGTCAAATACTAATAGCGGGTAATGAGTGTTTACAGACACCCATGACAGGCATAAGGTGACGCACAAACACATCCTTAGCCCCATTGCAACCACACACATCCTGTTTAGGGTTGAATGGTGGGAACCCGGTTACCGAGAGTTACCGGGATTTACCGCCCAAAACCACTCCCTTTTCCCGGGATAAATAACTGTGAGAAACCAGTAAATTATAATACATTATTTATATGAACGGCATGGAACAGCGTGAAATGGAACTGTTAAATTATATGCAATGTCCAAATCTGGATTCTCTACGGCCTCTGCATGATGAATCAATGCTCAGGGTGGGGACGGACAGCCCATCTCAGTATGGAGCGCAGTTCACAATGCATGTAGACCTATCTACTCATCATGGTAACTTTTTTTTTTGTGACAGGTAGGCCTACATTTGCATAGCCTATGCTACAGTAATATAAAGACCGAATGCGCGTCTCATTTACCCATCTCCATTTGGCTTTCGGGAGTCACCTTGTTTTTTAATTGCAGCTGCAGAGTTTTAAAAACAGCCTATTACTCGAATATCGTTGCTTTAAAATCAGTGCATGCATGGGCACTCTCTCACAGTCTCTCTCTCTCCATCAACTCATCCGAAATAGATAATCCTGTTCTAGATTGATATATATATATATATATATATATATATATATATATATATATAGATGTCCTAGCCTACCTCTTTCAGGTAAAACATTTTAATGCAGTATTAGCCTTATATTTAGCTAATAAATGATGGGTTATGCATAACAAGCTTCTAACTTATAGCCTCCGTCTCTTGCGCAATACGCAAGCACCTGGGCTCCACTGGCTTCTCCTTAAAAAATGCTCCTTAGCTCTTGGAGTCACGTGCAGGAAAAGCTAGACTAGAATAGCTTGCTAGACATCATCTTTTTAGCATTTCTTATACCAATAGAAGAGGGATGCAATCTCTTTTTTGCTGAATGTTAAATACAGCAGCCAATAGAACTCACAGGTAGATTTAAAGAAGAGCAAACACGCGATGGTGGTAGGCTATAGCAGTTAGTTATTCAGACCCATAACCATTCAATTATGAAGAGAAGTGAAATCCTTCAGCATCTAATTCTGGGTAGCCATTTGATTAGAAGTTCAGGAGTCTTATGGCTTGGGGGTAGAAGCTGTTAAGAAGCCTTTTGGACCTAGACTTGGCGCTCCGGTACCGCTTGCTGTGCGGTAGCAGAGAGAACAGTCTATGACAAGGGTGGCTGGAGTCTTTGACAATATTTAGGGCCTTCCTCTGACACCGCCTGATATAAAGGTCCTGGATGGCAGGAAGCTTGCCCCCAGTGATGTACTGGGCCGTAGGCACTACCCTATGTAGTGCCTTACGCTAGCCAATACTTGTAACTTTGTAGGCTGCATGTGCTGCACCAAAATCGCATGTTCTCTTCTGCTTAATCATGATTTGAACGTGCGTAATTCCACTCCATATAATACAGTATAATCCAGTACAGTAATACAGTTCACACTCAAAAAGATTAGCTAAGTGGAGCTAGTTTTATTTATTTACCCAAGAGAGCATAGGGTATAGCTAGCTACATCTATGGGCTTTTATGTCTTTCTGTCATGCGTAATGTGCAGTAGCCTATATCAAATACATTATGAATTGGATAATGGCACAATCATTTGGGCTTGGGCTCATTAAATGTCGTTAATGTAGGGCTCATAAAATGTATTTAATATATGGCTCATCAGGCTTGAATGTTCATGCTGACCAAAGCTCTAATCAAATCCAGACATATTTATGCAAATTATAATGCTTCTGAATGACACTTCCGGTTTTGGCAGGAAATACCGGGTTACCCGGGAGAAAAGTGATTTATTCTCGGGATGGAACATTTGTAAAATATCAGGAAAATATTAAACCCAAAGCCTGCTAGGCAAGGTTTCATATGAGGTAGGAGTACGGCTGTTGCGGAGACCGCAGTAAAATTCCACGTGACCACGGTAATATCCTCTTATGCACTCTGGACATGCGTTGGTAGTACCCAACTCGCTAACGACCATCAGGTCCTAATGGCCTGGTACTCAGGGCCCTATTGTCCCTCTAACCACTCTGACATCAATGCAAATGCAATTGAAAATCACATCAAACACATCATCAAAACAGTATCGTGCTTTTAAAACTCACCTCAGTGTGATAGATCAATTTAAAGAAATGAGTTCAACAACAGGTTGAAACTGAGTGGAAAACATGGTCATTGTGGATGTTGTTTCAAAGCCTAACAACCAAATGGACAGCGCTTTCTAAGGTGATGATTAATTCAAAACACCCATACACATATTAGAGCTTATGCATATGCATAGGCCTATATATGAGCCTGAAAACCCTGAATTAAAATAATGATTGTACCGTCATACAATTCATAGCCTTCCGCATACTACGCACAGCAGAAAAAAGCATATACTCTGGACTGTATTATTATGGATGGACTGGTTACCTTGTTCTACCCTCCAAACTTTCTATCCATGAGTCTGGGAGAGAACCTATAGGCCTAGGCGATGCTGTTGGTTCATTGATTGTGCAGGGCGGCTTACAAAGTTAGCTTCCAATTATAGTGAATTTGACTTTGAATAGCCTAGTAATAGGGCATTTTAAATATTTTATAATGAATAGGCTGACATTACCTTTAGCTACGGAATATCTCACCACCGTGCATTTCCATCTCCTCCTCTCTCTCTCCTTCATTTTTTTAACGAGCGCGCAGAGAGAGGGGCTGTCAACAGTTTCATGAAATATTTTTCAGGCTCTGTCGTAGCCGGCCGCGACCGGGAGACCCATGGGGCGGCGCACAATTTGCCCAGCGTCGTTCAGGGTAGGGGAGGGAATGTCCGGCAGGGATGTAGCTCAGTTGGTAGAGCATGGCGTTTGCAACGTCAGGGTTGTGGGTTCGAAAATAAATAAAAATAATGTATGCACTCACTGACTGTAAGTCGCTCTGGATAAGAGCGTCTGCTAAATGACTTAAATGTAATAACATGTTACTATCATTGTTCCCCAACAGATTTCACTTGGTTTCCCAAATTAAGCACTGGGTAGCTGCAGGAACAGGGTTGGAGAGCCCATGGCATACAGAGTTTGAGCGCAATATCACCTGTCGAGCAGCGAGAGGCTGCATGCTTCTCAAACAGTGGTTGATGCATGGAGTGAAATAACCGGAGTAGCCTACCAGGCATGATGGAAAAACAAACCAGTGGGAAAGTGGCCTCCATTCGCTATTCGAGTGCATACGGACAACGTCTTTTTCCGCCTGCCCCTGTTCCTGACCATTTGATGGGCAATTCTAAATCGAAACTAATTTGACTTATTAGTAAAGACAAGATTCAATTGAGAATAGTCTGATAGTATTTTCATCTATCACTTGATGAGAAAACAGCGTGTGCAGCCTGAGGCAAGGAACAGAGTGCAAGTTATATTTTGCGACTTTCTCAAATCATCAATAGCCTATAGTCGCATCATGCAGCCCATATACTGTATGTTTTCATTTCCAAGACATTCTAAGGTTTGTATCATTCACAACTAAAGTTGCCAAATATGTCTAAATCTAGCATATAGGACCTGTTTCAAATGATCACTTTTATGCTCAACATAGCCACTTCATATTCACACTCGCTCTGGAATGGGAAAAATATCCGTTCTATTTTATTCAGCGAAGTTCAATTAGGCCTACAGTATATTCTTCCTACTATAAAATCATATAATATAAAAGAATGGCACGGGACTTATAAGCATTCTTGTCTGCTAAATGAACAAGCCTACAGCCTATGGCATGGCGCATAGCCAGATAACACACAGTAGGCCTAGGCCAACTCATATTCTGTTCTTCATATCATAATGTTTCTTTAGACCTGCCTAAAATAAATACTGGATTTATTGTGATGATGTATATTAAATTGACTTATTAGACTCTTTTAAATGTAGATTTTCCAAAGGCATCAGCGGCTTGTATGTGTGGTGGTCTGGAGATGCTAAACGTTTTTATGTTAATTAACGGTCAATTACCGTGAGACCGGTAGACTTTTGCATGACAATAACCGGCTGACAAAATGTCATGACTGCAACAGCCTTAGGTAGGTGCCCAAACTTCATTTCACACGAATACAAACAGCCTTACCTCCAGCACAGGCCCAGCCCCTAGAATGGTCCTCTCCACCCCGCTGGCGTAGCCCTTCTGGCTGAGGGCCGTCAGACAGTGGATGAGGAAGTTGGTGCTCTGTGTCTTCCCCGAGCCGCTCTCCCCAGAGATAACGATGCACTGGTTTACCCTCTTCCTTAGCATGGCGTAGTATGCCACGTCCGCAATGGCAAAGATGTGCGGCTCCAGTTTCCCCAGCTGGTGGTTCTCGTACATCTTGACGTACTTGGGGTTGTAGATGGATAGGAACTTGAAGGGGTTGATGGCGATGAGGATAGACCCAGCGTAGGTGTAGATCTTTTTCTTGTGGAAGCGGTTGCGCAGGTTATCCAGGATGCTGCTCTCGTTGAGTGCCGGGAGGTTACACAGGTCGTCAAAGTCATCATGGCGTGGGGGGAGAAAGCCTCTGGCCGCCAGCTTCTGGGCCTCCTGCTCCTTCCAGAGAGCGGGGAGGTGGACGTAGTGGATGGTGCCGTCACGGTTCCTCTCCTGGAGGAGGAAGTAGAAACCTTCACTCTGAGGGTGCTGCTCCTGGGCCTTCCGTGGCCACAACAGGACCCTCTGGACTGGGAGGTCCCCGGACTCCAGCACCCACTCCTCCCCGCCGCACTCCTTCACCTCAGCAAGCACGTAGAGCCGCTGGGGGTCCAGGCCCAGGGCCAAGGCTGCGTCCTGGATGACGGAAGCGGCCGTGGCCTCCTTGGGCACCCTGAGGGTGCAGCATGATGGGCAGTCCGCTGAGAGCCGTGGGTAGACCTGCAGGTCGTAGGCCCGTCCATCTTGGCTAGGTGCTCCGCCTTCGCCATCTTTGACACTCATTCTGGGCCAGGTGGAGTCGCCTCAGCATGCCGTCTGCACTGCCTGCTCTTCTCTCACCACCCAGCACCTGGGGAGCAAAGGAGAACAATTGTTTTCAGACAGTTATACATTAAAGCTGAAAAAAAGGATGTCACAGCAGAGATTAGTTGCAGGGAGCTGACTGAAAGCAACAAGAGCTGTGATGTTAACTGTTAGCCACATGTACGCTAAAAGTGCCTGTGCCAAACAGCCCTGTATTGGATCAAGTCTTCAATTAAGAAAATAGTTTCATATAGACTAAACGAAAGACATTGAGCTATTCCAGATTGTGGAGGTTTCCCATTTGGGCATTGCAGTCTTGCAAAGGTCTAAACAGTTTGCCACAACGGCATTACGTCTGCGTTTCAAAATGCTAACAAATGGGTTGGTTTTTAAACAAAGACTGACAGACCACAGTGTGTGAACTCCAAACCGTTGTTCGTCTTGGACTAAGCAGCTGAGGAGTGGAAATGTGACTTGCATCACAGCACATAGGCAAGCTATTGAAAAGGTGGTTCTAATTTAGTGGATTAAAAAAAGCCTTCAACTATTTAAATCAAGCAATGTAGGCTTCACTACAATTAAGGGAATTATAAATCCTTCCCTGTACTTAATGCTTGAGTGATATCATTACAATAACAACCCTTTTCTATAGCATAGGCCTTTCACGAAGGCTAACGCTTAGTCCATCAGTGCAGATTACTGTTACATGCCCAATTGCATGATTACTTGAAGTAAACTGTGGTACAGACATTTTATTAGGGTGTAAGGATGTTCACTAACGTCCCGGGCCTACATTGATGACAGGGACCCAGCTTCGGATGTTTTACTTTTCTGTTATCACTGAGCTCGAAGTTTGCCTGCGTTTGGTTTACCCACATCATCAGTCTATCGTGTGCGTAAAGTTGAGTTGAGACATTTCTTTTCCTGCAAGTGTGCACTAAAGCGGTGGTTAGAGCATTAGTTTGATGCACACCTCATCTCCTCACTTCATGCAAGAAGCCCATCTCTATGATACGCCAATGAGAAAGCCACAGATGTGTTGGTGTAAACAAACACATCCTCACCATAGAAACAGATTAGGCCATACAGTAGAGCAGGGGTTCTTTTTCAGCATGGCTGATTTCTTTTGATTTTCCCATGATGTCAAGCAAAGAGGCACTGAGTTTGAAGGTAGGCCTTGAAATACATCCACAGGTACACCTCCAATTGACTCAAATGATGTCAATTAGCCTATCAGAAGCTTCTAAAGCCATGACATAATTTTCTGGAATTTTCCAAGCTGTTTAAAGGCAGAGTCAATTTAGTGTCTGTAAACTTCTGACCCACTGGAATTGTGATACAGTGAATTATAAGTGAAATAATCTGTCCGTAAACAATTGTTGTAAAAATTACTTGTGTCATGCACAAAGTAGATGTCCTAACCGACTTGCCAAAACTATAGTTTGTTAACAAGAAATTTGTGGAGTGTTTGAAAAACAGTTTAAATGACTCCAACCTAAGTGTATGTAAACTTCTGACTTCAACTGTGTATACATATATATATATATATATATAAGACATCAAAACTATGAAATAACACATATGTAATCATGTAGTAACCAAAAAAGTGTTAAACAAATCAAAATATATTTTGTATTTGAGATTCTTCAAAGTAGCCACCCTTTGCCTTGATGACAGCTTTGCACAATCTTGGCATTCTCTAAACCAGCTTCATGAGGTAGTCACCTGGAATGCATTTCAATTAACAGGTGTGCCTTGTTGCAAGTTAATTTGTGGAATTTCCTTCCTTCTTAATGCGTTTGAGCCAATCAGTTGTGATGTGACAAGGTAGGGGGGGTAAAAAACCAAGTCCATATTATGGCAAGAACAGCTCAAATACACCAAGAGACACGAAGGTCAGTCAATCCGGAAAATTTCAAGAACTTTGAACGTTTCTTCAAGTGCAGTCGCAAAGACCATCAAGCACTATGATGAAACTGGCTCTCATGAGGACCGCCGCAGGAAAGGAAGACCCAGAGTTACCAGCCTCAGAAATTGCAGACCAAATAAATGCTTCACTGAGTTCAAGAAACAGACACATCTCAACATCAACTGTTCAGAGGAGACTTTGTGAATCAGGCCTTCAACCACTACTAAAGGACACCAATAAGAAGAGACTTGCTTGGGCCAAGAAACACAAGCAATGGACATTAGATGGGTGGAAATCTGTCCTTTGGTCTGATGAGTTCAAATGTGAGATTTTTGTTCCGTCAACCGTCTTTGTGAGACGTAGAGTAGGTGAACGGATGATCTCCGCATGTGTGGTTCCCACCGTGAAGCATGGAGGAGGAGGTATTACGGTGTGGGGTGCTTTGCTGGTGACACGGTCTGTGATTTATTTAGAATTCAAGGCACACTTAACCAGCAAGGCTACCACAGCAATCTGCAGCAATACGCCATCCCATCTGGTTTGCGCTTAGTGGAACTATCATTTGTTTTTCAACAGGACCATGACCCAACACACCTCCAGGCTGTGTAAGGGCTATTTTACCAAGAAGGAGAGTGATGGAGTGCTGCATCAGATGACCTGGCCTCCACAATCCCCCGACCTCAACCCAATTGAGATGGTTTGGGATGAGTCGGACCGCAGAGTGAAGAAAAAGCAGCCAACAAGTGCTTAGCATATGTGGGAATTCCTTCTAGACTGTTGGAAAAGCATTCCAGGTGAAGCTGGTTGAGAGAATGCCAAGTGTGTGCAAAGCTGTCATCAAGGCAAAGGGTTGCTATTTGAAGAATCTCAAATATAAAATATATTCTGATTTGTTTAACACTTTTTTGGTTACTACATGATTCAATATGTGTTATTTCATAGTTTTGATATCTTCACTATTATTCCACAATGTAGAAAATAGTAAAAATAAAGAAAAACCCTTGAATGAGTAGGTGTGTCCAAACATTTTACTGGTACTCTATATACAGTGAGGGAAAAAAGTATTTGATCCCCTGCTGATTTTGTACGTTTGCCCACTGACAAAGACATGATCAGTCTATAATTTTAATGGTAGGTTTATTTGAACAGTGAGAGACAGAATAACAACAACAAAATCCAGAAAAACGCATGACATAAATGTATAAATTGATTTGCATTTTAATTAGGGAAATAAGTATTTGACCCCTCTGCAAAACATGACTTAGTATTTGGTGGCAAAACCCTTGTTGGCAATCACAGAGGTCAGACGTTTCTTGTAGTTGGCCACCAGGTTTGCACACATCTCAGGAGGGATTTTGTTCCACTCCTCTTTGCAGATCTTCCATCCCCACTGTCAAACATGGAGGTGGAAACATTATGCTTTGGTGGTGTTTTTCTGCTAAGGGGACAGGACAACTTCACCGCATCAAAGGGACGATGGACGGGGCCATGTACCGTCAAATCTTGGGTGAGAACCTCCTTCCCTCAGCCAGGGCATTGAAAATGGGTCGTGGATGGGTATTCCAGCATGACAATGACCCAAAACACACGGCCAAGGCAACAAAGGAGTGGCTCAAGAAGAAGCACATTAAGGTCCTGGAGTGGCCTAGCCAGTCTCCAGACCTTAATCCCATAGAAAATCTGTGGAGGGAGCTGAAGGTTCGAGTTGCCAAACATCAGCCTCGAAACCTTAATGACTTGGAGAATATCTGCAAAGAGGAATGGGACAAAATCCCTCCTGAGATGTGTGCAAACCTGGTGGCCAACTACAAGAAACGTCTGACCTCTGTGATTGCCAACAAGGGTTTTGCCACCAAATACTAAGTCATGTTTTGCAGAGGGGTCAAATACTTATTTCCCTAATTAAAATGCAAATCAATTTATACATTTATGTCATGCGTTTTTCTGGATTTTGTTGTTGTTATTCTGTCTCTCACTGTTCAAATAAACCTACCATTAAAATTATAGACTGATCATGTCTTTGTCAGTGTGCAAACGTACAAAATCAGCAGGGGATCAAATACTTTTTTCCCCCTCACTGTATATATATATATATATATATATATATATATATATATATATATATATATATATATATATATATATATATATATATATATATATATATATATATATATATATATTTGTGCTCGACTAAAACAATCTCAGTCGACCAGTCAACTAATTTGGGTCAGCCATACTAAGTAGGCTATACCAAGGGGCAAGGGCCAGTACAACCAAAACATTTTTATTAAAAGGATACTTCGGGATTTGCAATGATGCCCTTTATCTAGTTCCCCAGATGCAGATGAACTTGTGGATACCATTTTTATGTCTCTGTGTCCAGTATGAAGGAAGTTAGAGGTAGTTTCGCGAACCAATGCTAAAATCACTGACATTGAAAAGGACTGCCATTCAAAGTTTTAGCTTTGTGTCACTGTCCATCTGACACAGGGAATGTTCCCAGTTTCTCAGGTTTTCTGCATCTAGAATCCAGCCTCAAATTTCCCTGACCGCAGGCTACATTTGATTTGCACACATGGGATTTACAGATTTTCCACTAGTGAGAATTGTTCTGTTGTCATTGGGTTAATTGATCGCACACATCGGACACCCATGCCGTGACTCGTTTGTCTTCATCACTACAGTAGCTGTCACATGATAGGCCTACTCTAAAAAAAAGCACAGCCACAGAAACTTTACTGTCAGCAGCAAATAACTCTTCACCTCAACATCCGAGTTGAACACTAACAGAAACACGCACAGACACCCACTCTACTGTCACACACTTCATCTTCCCATTCATGGATGATTCAACTTCCACCTTAGCAGAAAGAGTGAAGAGACTGTTCAGGCTGTAAACTCAAGGATATCAGTGATTTCCTGAGAGAAGTGAAACTAACCGTCTCAAGCTTTTGGCAGCTCTTTATGGGCGACCGCCAAAGAAACTCAAAGCATTATGAAGAAGAGTCACATGATCAACATAAAAACGCAATGTCACCTTGGACCAGATGAGACAGGCATGCTTTAT